ATCTAAGAGGTAGCTTTTCTGATGTCAAATCAATCATAACCGTACATGGAAAATTTATAGCGATACATTTTCCGCAGAAGAACAGTTATATTGAGTAGGTTGAAATATACAGGGTGTTCCATTTCCATAAAAACCGGAATTGCAATGTGAACAAGTCCGAAATGGTTGTTTATACAGTGCCCGTCTAAAGTTCGATCCCCCCTTACTAATTTTTGAACCACCAGGTATATCGCAACTAAATTTGAAGTGCTTCAATAGGAGATGAAAACCAACTCTTTCATGAAATAAACAAAGTCAAAAGTTCCAGACGTTAATATTTCGAAAACAATTGAATTTGGGAGTAAAGTGTATAAGAGCAAACTGTTGAGAATTATGAGCAAATTTCTATCTGAAAAAAGTATTGAAGAGCCGCCATTTTGAAACTTTTTGCTTAAATTTCTCCATGACAGAGTAGGATTTTATGTCCCATTGAAGCACTCCAAATTTTGTTGCGATATACCAGGTGGTTCAAAAATTTAGTAGGAGGGAACGGACTTTAGACGAGCATTGTATAACTGTACCAAATTCAAAAACAATCCGTATACGAAATCAGAAGAGTGATGGGTGGCCCGATTCCCTGTATCACCCGGTGTAGGTACACACTGCAAAACTCCTTCCAGATGTCGGACTATACCTACTTCACTTAATTTGTGCTCTTAAAGATAAAACGTCACAACTTGAAAAATTTACGAGTGGTTCAGTGTTTTTCCTATGAAATATCGCTCATTCTTGAGATTTTATAGTTTTTTTCTCATTTGATCTTGAGATAAGGATCATCCAATAATGTCCTAACACTTGAATCGATCTGTACCATCTCGGAGGTGGCTCGTATCTGCATGGTTGTCACACTGACCTATAATACACTTCTCTTACAAATCAACGCCTCACCAAAAAGTAATCAAAAATTTAGGAAACATTTTCGTCAAAACAACTTGTTGTTTCCTTCTGAACATTAGTGTGCAAACTGTTTTCACATAAGAACTGCTTTCTCATGAATACCAAGTGTAGCTATTATACAGAGTATCCCGAAATTACATAGGAAGATTTCAACCACAGATTCTTGGAACAATAATAGTCGAAAAAAATTCATATAAAGACACGGATCCAGAAATGGTCCTCTGGGGGGTTTTACCCACCTAAAGGAGAACACATATAATGATATTATGAAAATATTTTCGAAACTCTCTGTGATAAAAAACAAAATTTTGTACATGCTCCTAACTTGTCATGCCTAATTCGAAAAGATTCGACAAGAAAATATAAAGATATCATTATTTTTACTCAAAAATGTTAATCCTGTTTAGTTCCGATAGTAACCGCCATTTTCGAGATAAATCGATTCCAAAAGTCTGTAGCGTAATAAAAATAGTATACCTTCTCCATACCATATTATTTTTCAATTCTTCCTTCTCATTACAGTCCTCATAGTTTTGATTTGACCTCCGAAGTAGATCTTGACAATAAGGGGTGTTTTCCATCAAACCATAATTTTTGGAAATATTTGGTACCCTGTTAGAGAAAAAAATAACGATATTCATGACGCAGCAGAATTTGTGAATCGATTTATCTCGAAAATGGTGAATGCTATACAGGGACACCATTTTCAAGTGAAAATGTTGATATTCACATATGTGCTGGTCAAAATGCCAAAAATTGCATAAACAAAGAAGTTGGGAGGAAAAGTGCACTTGGACCCACCTATTTTTGACGCTCCTGATGAGAATTTTGGAAATATCTTAACACTTCCGAATCGGTCATAAGAAGTTTGGTATATGTGCAAAATTTAGTTATTTTATCACAGAGGTTTTCGGAAAACTTCACATTAAACCATCATCTCGGGCTCCCCTTTAGATGGGTATATCCCCCCAGTAGGCCATTTTTGGACATATGCTAGATGAAATTGAAAGTACACTTTAGCCTTGTGTTCTCTCAACGTTCCTCACTTGGAATCACTCCATTATTTTTCCGATTTATTCAGAAACATAATTTCATGAAATAACATGATTTCATCGAATTCAATCGGCATTATAAGGACGAAAGTAGCAGGGTATGGTCTAGGAAAGAATTTCTTTGACTGGTAGCATGGAACTTGTAACCATAATTGGAAGCCTTATAGCTGAAAGGAACATATCGTTGATTTTGAAAGCACATATAGTGTGAGAATTTTTGTTGATGCAAGATAATGCCAGAGGCCTCACGTCCCCCGAGTTGTGAGTAATTATCTAGAGGAAGTCTATATCGCTACCATGGCATGGCCAGCTCGGAACCGTTACCATCGTGAATCTCGATGGTAACGTCGGAACCCGGATTAAAATCCCATTGAGAATCACTGGTATAGGTACATCCTTGGGACCAGGTTACAAGAGGAACGTAATCTGAATACTTTGGAAAACGCATGGTATAGTCTGATGATTCAAATTTCGCAAAACCCGGACCAACATGACACTAGGTTTTTTATTTTGGGTATAGACCGTTTTTGCCAGAAAGTCTTTCGAGTCCGCGGCGAAATAAATACTCGCTACTGACTCTTTCGTTTAACTTGAGACTTCGCATTCTGTTATTTTTTTCGATATTGATGAGGGGGTTCCTGCATATGCTGATATGTGTGACCTCACCAAGGAATTCGACTGCGTCAAAGTTGACATACTTAAACAGAAAATGGAATATTACGGATTTGGAAATAATGAAATCAAACTATTTGAATCATGTCTACGAAATGGGTCACAATATGTTAGTCTCAACAACTCGAACTCTAGCTTACTGAACGTACAGAATGGATTGCCACAGGGTTTGGTACTGGGCCCTATACTATTCTTATTGTTTGTAAATGATTTACCAAGTGCTGTTAGTGAGCTGAGTTCAGTTGTATTATAACCAGATGATACCACACTCCTAACGAGAGGTAGGGAGAGTCTGAGCACAAAATGGTAGAAACCTGGTGTACTACTAATAAGTTGAAACTGAACGTGGCTGAAACACAAAAAATGATTTTCAGATCAGGTAAATCAGCTGAAAAGTCTGATGAGGTGAAACTGTTGGGCATTACACTTGGGACACTTGTTATTTGTTATGAGACAACTACGTTTATGTATTAGGGACACAAAAACTATGAGAACAATATAGTTGCGTTTTATTTGTTCCATTCTGGTAGCGGTGGTGGAAACAGAATGACGTTTACAAATAAAACGAGAAACTTCATAACCTTTGCTTGAGAGAATTTACATATGAGCTTATATTTGTATATGGGAGATCCAGATAATTTCAAAAGCATAATACTAGAGTTAAGAATCTAGAAAATGAATCAACTAATATTTTGAGCAGTGATTGTGATAATTGAAGAAACTTTTCTGAGATCGACAGAGTTTATTTTATCTGTGAATGAACATATGAAACCTGTCTTACTTGAAAGAATCATGAACTAGTGAAACTCACGCTGAAAATGTCTTCTAAATGTCTATTTCTTTCAAAAAGGTTCGTTTTTGGTCAATCTAATTTGATTTTTTGACACCTGTCAACAGTCATTCCACATCATTCCTTGTAGTGAGACGGAATGGAAAGTAGCAACCGGATTTGGAAAAGTTTCAAATTAAACGACACATCAAACTGATTCCGGTGGCGGAATCGGATAAATAAAACGCAACTAATGCTATGCCGAAGTTCAAAGTCACTTGTCATATGGCGTGACTCTGTAGGGCAACTCCAGTGCAGCACTCAAAGTATTTGCAATCCAACAATCAGCTGTGCGTATTGTTGATGACGCGCAGAGTCGAGCACATTGTCAGAGTCTCTTCAAAAAATATGATATTCTGCCATTACCATGTATGTTTATCTTTGAGTCACAATTGTTTATTCACCGTAAGTTGCCCAAATTCTCTAAACACTCGAATCTTCATGATTACAACACAAGGCGGGCGGACGATCTACTGACTCCGTACTCAAGAATCTGTCTAACTCAAAAGAATAAGTTTGATCTGAAATCAAATTGGGATATTAATTTTCCATAAAGTAATGAAATACTATAGAAATGTGTTTCTCCAGTGATAGGAAAGATAATGAAGTGAATCCAAAAGAGGAATGTTAGAAGAAGATAAGGCTGAAGTGTGACTACAGGGTATACAAATTTCATGAAAAAAAAACCGCTGTAATTGCTAAACCCAGTATGTATAGAAAAAGTTTCCATGCCATACAGTATGCACACTAATGTTCACAATGAAATGAACTGTCATTCAATATAAAAAACGTCCAAATCGGACAAGTATAGTCGTAGTCACAAAAAAGCGTAAAAGTATATTGGAGGCATATACGTATTAATAATCAATATGGATAATCTCTATCTGTTTCCATAGCGAAACATGAAGCCGATTTTTATAGACAAATGACTATCCATAAGGAAAAGTGAGATACGATCAGACACATACTGCTTTGATTGAAAGGCTAGTAAACGTCATTGTCCACCGAAACGCATGTCTTTGATGACTACTATAATAGCGCATGGCGCATGCGTATCATGCCACCAAATCCTTATGGATATTCATTTGTTTCATATTTTTGGCTTCATCCTGGCACCCGTTATGATCCGTATTGTTTATTAATACGTATATGATTGGAGGGAGCAATTAACGTCATCCTATTTGCCTAAAACGGGCTATCAGGAATGAATGTTTACCAAATGTTGACAGTAGAGTAATCATTGTTTCTTAAAAACACAAAGCATTGGCTGAGCCAATTTTACACAACGAGAACTAGGATGCCGAAATCTTTTATGTTCAATACTTGTACGCATTTTTATTGAATACGACTGTAATTTTGACGAAGATGTTTCCCAAACTTTTGGTGGTACACGTTAATTTCTTGTAAAAGTGTATGAACAACGAATGGAAGAATTTTCACGACCAACTAGTGAGCAGTGAAATCGGTCAAGGAGCTTGTATCGAGATTTGCAGCTTTTTCTTTATTTTCAGTGCTGGTGGTCTGGTGACGGCAGTAGCGCCGGTGGTGATAAATGGGGGTGGTTTGTGGGTGGGGTGGCCTGGAATGCACCTGGAGGATAGCTCCGAACCCATGCCCGAATCAGATCCGACAGATATCACCCCCACCGCTGGCTTGAAATCTGAAAAGGTACGTATGTACAAGGTTTATCTAGGGTATGATCCTACAGATCTTACAGATTGCCACAATTGTTCATGAAATGAACGGAAATGGTAGATGAAGAGAGAAAATCAACGATTCTCCTGGCTATATGCCACGCAAAATATTGAATTACATTCTTAATCCAGCGAATAGAGACACATATAGAGGGGGTTCATCTTACAAACGGTCCGGTAGTTCTGAATTTTTGATATGTTATCTAGAATGGCTATTGAGTGTTCAAAATGCAAAATGCACAATTTCTCCTCCTCCGCGCCCTCCGCCATATTGGAAAAAACCGAAGAAATCGGCACTTCCTTCAGATTTTCGCTTATATCTTCTTGTTGGTGCATTTAAGCTACAAATGAGCTTCATTCAATGTTGTAGAAGATTAAATTTTCTATAATTCTTGTTCCGAATTTTGTTTCTAGGACTGATAGTTACGGAGATATGATTTTTTTTTATAAAATAAAAAAAAACGCATGTTCCGGAATTTTGTCAAGTACGTTCAGCGACACTATGGCACCAATGATGTGATGGTGATTCTTGATGGCTACACTACAGATCCTTCTCAACAAGGGACCAAGATTGCTGAACGAGCAAGAAGGTACAAGGCAAACTCATCATCAAACGTGGTGTTTGATAAAACCACTGTCAACACCGTACCTCAGGATGAATTCCTGGTCAATGAGGGGAACAAGGACCGATTTTTGAAGCTGCTCTGCAATGAAATGCAAGCGTCAAATACAGTCACAGACCAAGCTTCCGAAGATGCTCGGAGAAGACATTGACCTACTCGTCCTACTGACTGGCACAACACCTGCGGCGAACAATGTCTACCTCGAAAAACCAGCGAGAGGGAAACATCCAGACGCAATCTACTCCGCCTCCTCTGACAAGTACAACTCCAAAGGCTGTATCTTGCTCCTGCACGCAGTATCGGGCTGCGACACCACATCTAACATTTTTGGGTTCGGAAAGAATAAATCCTGCCAACTTTCTAGGAGAGACCCATCAAGCGGAGAATTTCGAGGACCCTGCTGCCAGTCCCTAAGTAATTTCAGTAGTAGGGGAGAGAATCTTGGTATCCCTATATGGTGGCAGTGAAGAACAATCGTTGAGCTCCCTTTTCTATAGCAGGTTGAAAACAAGTACCCTCAAACTCAATCTGACTAAACTACCTCCGACCACTGACTCCGCACATTTCCACTTACTGAGAACATACCACCAGGTCATTGAGTGAATGGGTAGGTAGGTAATCAATTGAAATAGTACCTGCATCTTAAGCATCGCGCTGTGTCATGTAAAAATTCGAAGTAGGATTAGTATAAACTCCAAATTCAAGATCAAACTGTGAAATGGTTAGTGAATATTTTTAGATACAATGTGGAGTCACAATAACCAAAAAAACAATATGCCGTTGTTTTAACTTCCATTTTCACGCCCCGTAGGGTGGGTGGAAGAAGTTGTACATGCATTTCTGTAGGTAATTAAATTCCCTACAAATCTTCTTCCGATACTCGTTTCCCTAGAATAGGCCATAAGTGAACTACAGCGTTCTGAAGTGGGAAGTTTGACAAATTTCCGGAACATGCAATTTCTTACATTTTTTCAAAAGGTGCATATCTCCGTAACCATCAGTCCTAGGATCTGAATTCGAAACGTGAATTATAGGAAATTCAATCTCCTACAATACTTAATGGGACTTTTTTGTAGCTTAAATGCACCATAACGATAATATAAGCGAAAATCTGGAGAAAGTTCCTATTTTTTTCGGTTTTTTCAATATGGCAGTGGGCGCGGAGGAGGAGGAATTGTGCATTTTGCATTTTAAACATTCAATAACCATCCTAGATAACATATTAAAAATTCAGAACTACCGGACCGTTTGTAAGATGAACCTCCTCTATTCACTGGATTAACTCCTGAAATCCATGCAACGATTTCAATCAATCAAATCTTCATTTCTTCAGACAATAATAACATTGTGGTCAGAAACGTCAAAATTCTTGAGAAATACATACACACAATGCATAGATACACAGAATAGGAATACAATACAAAAAAATATCACTGTACCGGACAATCCAAGAAATCTTGCACAGTATAAAAAGAATTTTGCATCAAAAAGTGTTTTACTTGATTTAATATGCTCAAATGAATGATTGAAAATATGTGGTCCTACATTTGGGAAAAAGCACTTTTCTCACGAGTATGAAAGTTTGTGGCACGAGCCTGAAGGACGAGTGATGCAAACACACGAGTACACTTTCCCCACTTGTTGCACAATATACTATTTCTCTTTATAAAGGAGCCATTCACGTCTTCGTCAGTTCTCATGAATATTATTCGTTACTCAATTAATATTATTGTTGTGATTTTTTCACTCCATTTCATGATGAAACACAAGTGACAAAACCGAGGCAACTGAGAAAAACAAAATCATTTCCACAATTGTTCATGAAATGAACAACAATGATGGATGACGAATCGTTGCAAAATGTTTTGGAGTTTCTCCCTCTTCATTACTATTTCATTCCACTTAGTGTATTTTGGCTTCTTCTTAGTTTAATATGCACTAGTTGCGGTTAAGTTATGAAAACGACTTAAATAACCTCGGGTAGGTAGATCTGGAACTCACACAATAACGTAATGCTCACGTCCTGTCGACAACGTGATAACGTAAAGATAAGAACAATAATAACAATAATAATATTAATAGGAATGTATAAGGAAAAAGTTTAGCTACAAAAGAGCCATTCTTACACTTTGACCTATATGTTATGTATAATTTAGGTATTACAAGATATTTTCTGAGAAAACGAACTGAATTCGAATCATATTCACTTTTCAACTTTTCAAACTGTGACAATATCAATTTTAGAAGTAATCTGTGCATCTAGGTAGATTGCGTACTTTGATCATCAAGAATTTTATTTTTCAGCTACACTCTGAATAATTTCATACTCAGATTTTTGCTATTATCATTTAAAGCATTATAAATTAATGGTAGTTGGTAGGAAGAAGTTGCTTTAAATTTACTGGTGGACTAGTGTGGGATATTCACACTAGCAAGATTCCTTATATTGACCCTAACAACACGAGTACGTCCCAGGGACGTCCTTCATTTTCTACGAGGATGTTCCTGGGATATAGAAGAGGCACCCTAGGGATGTCCTTTTGGTACGTCCCTGGGATGTACCAAGTACGAAGAAAGGATATTCCTAAGACGTCCCAAGGATATCCCAGGGACATCCCTTCGACAAAAGAAAAAAAAAAGTAGGTCGAGTACGGATTGAGCCGGGACCTTTGGCTTATCAGGCACGCATCTTACTCCATTGGCTATTGAGCGTCCTGAAGATTAATGTACTAAACAGATTTATAAACAGGACTTAACTAAATAAACCTGAATAAATACACCTTTGTTAGGATTTGGGTATAATTATTATATCATTCTTGGGTGTTTAAAAATGAGGGACATTATGCATGTACGATTTCTGTTTGCGAAAAATGGTAATTTCTTAAGAAGTTCTGAAACTTTATTCTTTATTTCCATTACGATTATTTTCCGGAAGAAAAACAAACATTTTCAAAAAAATTCAACTTAATACTTTGATGAAATTCAATGACTCTGATGTATGAATGGATATCAGATATTCCAGGGACACGAATAGGATAACCTAGGGATGTACCGGGCGGGATGTCCACTGGACAACCACTGCACGACATCCCCTGGATGCCCCAATCATGTCCTTGTACCGCGGGACAAAAAAGGGACGTACCTAGGACATCCCTGTGTTGTTAGGGGAGGTTGTGCAATTGATGTCCTGCATGTACTGAATATTCATACTGACTTTCTATTTCGTTTCCACTCATATACGAATAATGAACAACAAAATTTGTTTTTTTCCAGAAATAAAAGTCAAGTCACGTTGAATTTTGATATTTTGCTTTTTGTTTGTTATTAAACAATTGATACTAATGTTCTCCATGATTTTCAAAAACTGACTGCACAAGTGCATATTTTCTGGATATGATTGTGTCTGTCTATTGATCATTGGGTACCTTAATTCCCGTGTAATATTTCAAGAGAAAAACATGTTTCCCAACTCACTGATAGCTATCACTTCATGAATATTGAATTCAAATCGAGACAAAATAAAAAATCATCTTCACGGTTGTAAACAATAATAATTCCTTGTTGACATTATTTTTAATCGAATCTCAAATATAACGAACGGTATCAAGGCCGGCATTTTTCGATAGTCTGAATTAATATCATCCGTAAATAATATGTCGGCATAAGTTGGTGCGTCATATTTTTGATACAAAACACTCGATATCCCAAAAGTTCAATCAACCAAAACAATGTTCGTTGCGATATAACTTTGGAATGTCATTGATTTCACTTCTTGATGCACATTCCTCCTATCTACTCACAGTAAACGGTGAAAACACCATCAATTGAAGACCTAATAACAGTAAATATACAGAGTGTCAATATGAAAACTCGATGGTAAAATATTTTCCAAAAAAAAACACAGTTTTTCAGTTGAGGAAAACAACATCTTCTTTATGCCGTTTCTCATATGAATTTTTTACTTTCATTGCTAGAAACATGGGCTAGAACACTTAATGGTATTCATACTCAATAGGTACATCAGACCATCAGACAGACAAGCAACAATATGGTTCAATGCTGATGCAAACTTCACAAAAATTATAGTTCAGGAACTGTAAATGACGTATCTTCTTATAGGTAGAGAGAATAATGATTGATGTTGCAGTTCTCCTAACGACCAGACTGATTGGATGCAGTGCATTGACTATAGAATAGAAGGATATGTTGTTCGCCTCAAATATACCATCTTGTTCTGATTTTATGAATAAAAGAGCTGAAAGTGGTTCGCTAATACGTCTACTGTTCAGATTCATTGAAACCAGCAATGATTAGACTGTACTGTAGGATAACAACAGTTGTTGTAACGAGCTTGGCAGTTCTTTCATAATGGGATGTTATATTGAGTGTTGGAATGGTTGAAATGTAATCACTTGCTTAGAATTCAAGGGCACTTTCCCCAAGTGATAAAGGAAACGTGCACTACAGTGGTTTCCTAATTAAATGTCAACTCAGAAATGTCTGGAAATGATCGATTCTTCAATATTTCATGGATATTTCTGGATAATGCAAAAGTGCACCCATGCGGCACCATCAGGAACTGATCTATCTAGAAAATCTCGAAATTTCACCGAGACGTTGACTGGGACAATCCATCTGAATGAAAGATTCATAATTCCACGAGCACATTATTGTAGTAGCATCAATATGAGCAGACGATTTTACGAAATCTCACACATTATTCGAAAAACGCTCATTTTGATGTTGTCGGCAGTTCTCTTGCTACTAAAGACAGGTGGAAAACTTCATCAGGAATGAATTCGATCGTATTACAGTGCAGTACGATTTGAATATTGTCTGAACTTTTTTAAATCCACATAATGCCTGGAAATGCTCCGCTCATGTAACACTCTTTTTGACCACTTGGTATGTGAAAGCTTCGAAGAGTTTCGAACAACGAATCCTAAACAGAAAGGACGCATCTTTTGAACACTTCATTCCGATCGAAAGTCGGTTCATTTACAAAAATGTTATCGCATTTTAAGTCATATCGAAAATTCGATTGGTATCCACTCAATTCTATGAGCACTTTATTAATTCAGTTTAGCAAGTGAATTGCTCTGGAGTACCGCAAGGCTCTGTACTAGGACCCTGCTATTTTTATTATATGTAAGTGACCTAGCACTTGTCGACATACATGGGCAATTTACAATATTTACTGATAGGGTAAAGACATCATCAATGAGGACCTGCACAAAGTTGAAAAAATGGTGCGACGCCAACTTTTTGTCTTTCAACACCCCTAAGACAGGTATAATCAACTTTAAGAGCGTTATCAACAATGTATTTCTCGATAATGACTGTCTTAGCATCAAAGCTACACACAAATTCTTGGGATTGAATATTGACGCCAAACTAAAATTTGAAGGGCACATTTCAAACTCAGCTAAACAGCTAGCATCTGGCTGTTATGCCGTTGGAGTTTTATCCAATGGATTAGGTCTAACTGTGGCAGAGAACGCTTATTACTCACTCATTGATTTGCTTCTGGGGCATGTACGCAAACTATTCATTCGATGGAGTTTTTATTCTCCACAAAAGAGCACTAAAATATATTATGCAAAGCCGATTCGGGGGATTCTTGTAGATCTTCATTTTTGGTTCATTGAATACTGCCACTAGCCTGCATTTTCATTTTGGTAACCGTTTGCCAAGGTAAAAAAAAAGTTATTTCCATAACATTGAACTGCCTTTTCCCACGTCACTTCTACACATGCTTCTCGAATTTGATTTTTGTATTCCAACTTTTAGATTTCGATTTTTTTTAAAATGTTTCGAAATATCTGTAATATTTGAAGAATTGTTAATTCCACGAAACTACTTCATACCAGTAGCCTTTTTATGCTAGTTACTTTCAATGACTGATTATGCACAGAAATATGATTTTCTTCAGAAAATGATAATCCCCGCTTCCAAATTCTGTTATGTTTGATGCAAAGTTGATATATCGTCAAGCATTTAGAAACTAAATTCATTCAAACTGATCTTTTCAGTACTAGAAAAATAAATTTGAATGAATTTCGTTTCTTAATGCTTGACTCAGTAATAACAGAATTTTGCATCAAACATAACAGAATTTTGAAGCGGAGATTATCATTTTCTGAAGAAACTCATATTTTTGTCGATAATTAGTGATAATTAGTAATTGGAAGTAAGTAGCTTGATGAAGCTACTGGTATCAAGTAGTTTCATCGAATTCACAATTTTTTTGATATTACAGAAATTTCGAAAATTTTAAAAAAATATCGAAACCTAAAAAATTTAATAGAAAGATAAAATCCGAGTCACATACATAAAATTCAAATAGAAACAACTTTTTCAAGGGAACTCTTTCGATATTCGAACAAATAAGCCTACTTTCAGCGATTAATTTGAACAAATTTCACTTTTGTCATGTAGCGAAAGTCACGTGACCCCGATTGAGTAGGCCATTTTTCATCTTGTTCGAAGCAAAACTTAACGTCCACCTCAAATTTCAAAATAAGTCATTAATAAAAGTTTTTCCCATATGATGCCGACTTTATGAATGACACTATATATGTGTACATTTCATATTTGAATATTTGTTTTTATTTTCTAGACAAGACTATGCATTGTAAGGACGATCAATACTTTGTCAATAAGAATTCATTCTTCAGACAATAAAGTACATTTCGATTTGATTTGATTTACTATTTAAAAATTCTCTCACTGTAACTAATCGTATTTCGGAATATGGCAATATGCTATTGTCTGCCACTACGTTGACGTTGGTTTTTGTTTGCGGTAAATTTCTAGCTGTTCGAAAATTACCGTAGCATTATTGATGATTCCAAGACTTTAAAATCGACCAAAAAAATCGAAAGAATATGAAATTTTGAAGTAGTTGAGTGAAGATTTTATATAAAAAATGAGGAAAAATTATTCCACTTGCCTATTATACCAGGTGGTCGCTGTGCAAATGGACCCAGCCATCTTCGACTCGTACTACAACGGCTGCTGCAACGCCACCTTCTGGCCTCTCTTTCACTCGATGCCCGATCGAGCTTCCTTCAAGCGGGACCACTGGAAGTCGTACGGCATAGCGAACAAGGAGTTCGCCGAGTGCGCTCTGAAGGCGCTGCGGTCGCTGCCGAAAACCTCCACCGAAGTACCGCTCATTTGGATCCACGACTATCATCTCATGTTAGCCGCCAACTGGATCAGACAAGTGAGTTGTTGGACAATATTATTTTTATTCTCAATGTTGTGAAATGAGTACAAAGTTCGAAAGCGGGCAACCATGTTGAATCTTTCATTCATGCAGCGATTTTGACAACCTTTTTTTGAATGTAAAGAGGAAAATGGTGTATTCTCGTGTCCATTTTTCCAAAAACCAGGGCCTTCTAGATCACATTCACGTGCATTATTGATACTAGTCAATTTTTCAGAAGAAAAGTAGAACCAACGTCCTCTGATATAGATCTATTCGCGGTAGCTGAGGTCATCATCGGACGTTGCGAAGACATGAAAACTATCGGAAAACATTCCTAACTCCTGGCTTAGATTGAAAATTTTGACATGTTTCCCAGTAGTTTTCATGATATCGCAACTTCAGATGATGACTTCAGCTATCGCGAATACCAAGTTTCATAAAAAACAACGAATGTTATACTTACATTGACATTATCATAACGAATACATGAAATTGAATCCAGTATACTCCCAATTAGCTGATGATTGAGTGGATGTCAGCCAGAAGCTACGGCAACAGATCCATCCTGGTAGAAAAGATGGTCTGTTTGAAAACTCGAATTAACTTTTTAGTGCGACTCTCAAACTACAATCAAATATCTCACATTCATTTTGGTCCTTCGAACCAGATGAGGTTGTCCTCCGTAACTGAAGCCATTCCTCTAGTCCTATTTCCCTCAGAAATTTCAGTAGTTGAGGTGCTTCAGGGTAGGTGAAGCTCTTCCTCCTCTATTATGTGTGCTCCTCCTCGACCTCAGATTCCTTTTTCTCCACACAGAACCTGAATCCATATTCCTCTTCTGAGCCAAGCTTCCAGATATGTTTTTCTTTCCTGAGTTTTTTCAATACATTATTGCTGCTGATCTTGCAATTGGGCCCTACAAACGAAGAGTGTTTTAGTTCCTTTCCTGGCGAGTTTATCCGTTACTTCAATTCCTCCAGCTCCAGAGAATTCTTGAACTCATTGAAGGGTGATGGGATTTTTGTTGGCTACTTCGTTCAGTTGTTCCTGGCATTCCAAATCCCTTTTAGACCTGATGACTTCAGAGCTGATAACCATGATAGAGGTTAGCGCTTTGAGAGCTGCTTGACTATCGGATGATATCTGGTCTTTCATAGCTCATGTGCGGAACTAACAACTTATGGTAAAATCCGAACCAGTTCTGGGGCCACGTATTGCTGACTGGACTACAACCAATTGGAATTACAACATTATAACTGAGATGCACAGCCGACAGCACCTTAGTTGTCTTACGAATTTTAGCCCTTTAGATCACTCTGACATCGTGGCACTATTATAATCTATCAACAAGGAAGAAAAAATCGAAGTATTCTCCACAATCATTTCAACCATCGAAAATGCAGTTTTTCCTACTTCAAGGGTTGAATTTGAGACATGTTCCGACCATTCAATAGGTCATCATCAGTGCACGAAGCGAATGTGGGGTTGGCCATAACATTATGACAACGAAAAACAAAAACTTATCGATATAACAGATTCCACGTGATTGACTATCATTTTAATTAGATTTTGAAGAAAATATGATCATTTCAAGAAAAAACCTAATTTATTATGAGTATTTCTTATAGAAATTCAGATTTTGTTGCTGCTTACATGGAACTTCTCTCTCATCTATTCCTGAGATTTCACTAAATAGTAGCAAAAGTTTCGATACATTGGAATTATTGAGAAATCAAGAAATTTTTCGATACACATTGAAAACCTATACATATTCAATTATTAGTTGGTCCGGAGTATTACAAATATCCAGAATGCGAGTTATATCAGATAATTGATTTTTTAGAACCAATTTCAACAGAATGACAACAGTTTCTATTCGAAAAAATGTCCTTCATGCTCAATGAATCATTCTTTTAATGCTGATAAATTCAATATCCATGAGAAAACAACAATAATGTATCTCAAGTTATTGCATTACATAATTGAATAGTTGCGTTCATGATGAAGCTTCATGAAAAAATTAATAATAAAATATATCGATTACCTAGAAAACAAAGATGCCCTTGAAAATTTCTTATGCATATAGAATCTGTATCCAATACAAACAATATCAGGATATTTTATAACTCGATTAATACCATTTTGAGGCTCGGAATTGATGATAAAGTACCTGCTGCAACGTTACAAATTTTTTATACACTACTAACCTAAGGTGTGAATGATAACGAATAATTCCTCTCTCATTTATCTGAAGTTGCAATACAAAAAATATAATCTAGCTAAATATTGTTTTTTGTGCCACCTAAATCAGATTGCATAATTCTCCTCTCATTCCATGGAATAAGATGCAATAAACGTTTCGTCACTAAGGAGGTGACAGTTCTTCGATAACGAGTACTGATGTTCAAACAAACCAAATCACACAATTATTCTGTGAATGATGATAATTTTCGTGAATTCACACACAAATGAGAAAACGTAACTACAATATTTTGATAGGGCAAGGGGGAAAGCATTGCAATCTACTCGGGTAGCCGAGCAGCAATAAAAGCAGTCAACTCGATACAGCAGTCAGAATAGACTGACTCTAAAATGGTTTATTCATGCAGTGTATGAGAGCAACGAAGAGGCAGATTCACTAGCCCAAGAAAGAGCAAGTCAAGCTCTGGATGGGCCAGAACCATCTCGTGGTATTGAGAAAGCTATACAAAACACAAGCAACAAATAAAAAATGGTGAAACAACTCGTCAGGAATGAGATAGGCGAAGAAATTTATTGAAAAACCTTCGCCACTATTCACAGCAATATCTACTGAGTCAGAAAACAACTTTGACTAAAAAATTAGTGATTATTGTATGCTCATGGAACAGATAAGTACGATATGTCAGGCTGAAATACTGTTGGGCAGGTTTTGTCAGGTGATGAGAAAACAGCAGTGCACATTCTTCGCTACTATGATGACTTGTCAAGACTTAGGTTTTTTCACGCTGGAAGAGGCTAAGAGCCCAAAGATACACAAGGGAGGGAAAAGCTAGCCTATGACGTCTCATAGAGAAGCGGGGCTATAGTCAGATAACTGAACAATCTCGAGATTCGGGGGCAGACGAAATGGATCTGTAGAGGCCGGATGTCAAGGCAGATAGCCCGAAGTCCCATTTCAATCTCTCAATATCTAACTGTGATTTTTGTGAAATACTTCTCGTCGTGAAAATTCACTGAGAAGTCAGATGATGAGTTTTTCCCCTATGAGTATCATCATTGAGAGATATTAAAAATATCGAATATAGTTTTAATCGTTTCTTTTTCAGGCTGCCGAAGAAGAAGATATCAAATGCAAACTAGGGTTCTTTTTGCACATCCCTTTTCCATCGTGGGACATCTGCCGCCTGTTCCCTTGGGCCGACGAGATCCTGCAAGGGATGCTGGGTTGCGACATGGTAGGCTTCCACATCACCGACTACTGCCTCAACTTCGTCGACTGCTGCCAGAGGAGTCTCGGCTGCAGGTAAATACTCATCCAAAACATGTTTTATCTTCAGTGCATTAATATTATTTCTAATATTTTGTTGAAATTCAGTAGGCAATCACTGTAAGTGGAAACACATTATGTTTTGGGACAAAAATCAATTTTTTACTTTTTTTAGTGATGTTCACGTATGCATGATATCGAATGTTTTGATTAAAAAAAAAAAACTGTACGCCTCTGATTTCAACAACCTGTAGCTCAAAATCTTAGAGGTTCAGGACTTGATCAACACCCTGTATATTTCCTGAAGTTTTCTATCCTTCTCAATAAAAATAATCAAATTCAGTACAGATGACTAATCATACAATATAGTCAATAAGTTCATGATTCATTCCATACCAGTTGTTACTGTTTGATAATTCATGTTTATCCTATTCGGAAATTGAAGATTTTATATAGGTAATTGGTATTGAATGTGATGCTGAAAGATTTGATGTAATGACTGAAATAGATGAATCAGATGCTCTGCCAAGTCCTATGACATCAGATACTTTCATATAGTATTCGCAAATTATATTATTTTGCAAAACAAAATCTCAACTCTGAAGCGAATGAGAGATGAGCAATAATATTGATGATATACTGTATCGTCTTCCATATGATATACACCAATAACTGAACTGTATGCCTTCCTTAACAAAAACATATTCTTTAGAAGAACTGTACAGATTAGAGACTTTGAAAATATCATATAATATCATAAATGAAAATTGAAATCTAATATTATTTTGACAAAAAATTTTGAATTGAAATTTGAAAATAGAATCTGGTCGGTATAATGAGGAAATACATCAATATATACCCATGCATAAGTGAACATTCCATGAACCAAAAGACATTAACGACAATGAATTGGCAAACGAATTTTTACAAAAAGAATATTGAGACAACATGACTAAGAATTTTACTTATTTCGTTCAGAAATTATCAGTTTTTTTCTTTTTGAACGTATACCGAATATATATGTTTTCAATTCTTGATACTGGATAATGCCTGATACTTGCCTGATACTTGTCCGAGTTTAGAGCTAGAATAAGCGTCAATGTAAAACAAGTTTAATTGTCTAGTTTCATGATCATGAATTTCTGAATTCCGTATCAAATTAAATTCGACCTACATTTTTTATTTAAATTTCATCTCAAGAATACGTATTTGTTATTTCATACAATTGATTAGTTTGTGCAGGTGTATCAAATAGAAGATGATACAATACGATATGATACTTCTGATGATTTTCAATACAGGGTGTTCGATATTATTCCACAAGATTTCGAGGTCGTATTTTTCGGTCAAAATAAGAAACAAAGTTCATATAAACCGTGTTAGCGAAACATGTTGTGTGATCAAGGATTTTGTGTAAATCTTATCGTTTGTGAAGTTTTTACATTTGCTATGAATATCCAACAAGTAACCGCCGAGTCAATTGAAAAAATCGACCATGGTCTATGATTAAACCTATAAGAGTTTGGAAATTTTTGTAGGATTCATATAATTGTAGAGAATCATGATTACAATTTCGATGTCAAGTTTGGGACATCCTCTCGAAACACCAATAATAATTATTGTGGATATTCTCTTTGTCTAAACAAGTACCTATCTGATGTTTTCCAACGAATAGGGTCGACAGGAAGAATCTTCTAGTCGAGCACGGCGGTCGAACTGTACGTGTGAGGCCCCTGCCCATCGGTATCCCCTACGAGAGGTTCGTCGAGCTGTCAGAGAAGGCGCCGAGAGTGCTTTCCACCAATCAGAAGATCATCCTTGGCGTTGACAGACTAGACTACACGAAAGGTCAGTAATTCCAGTAGATTTTCGGAATTAGTGAAAATCTCAGAACTAGATCTAAAACGATAGAGGAAAACACTGAGCACGTTCCTACATATTCAATCAATACGAGAAGGCATCTCCACATCACATTAATTTTTTTGCTGAGACCTGAATGGATATAGTTTTGTCTTCCATCATGAGTTCTATTTCACTTCAAATTCATATTGGAATTATTTTTCCGTATTTGTTCAGAGCATTCTCTGTTGGTATATTGGTTCAAGAGATGAAATGTTTTCAAAAACTGGATTCATCGGGAAACCAGCCTCCAAACATAACGCCAATTCATATGCCCGTGATCACCTTTTGCCGACGTACTATAAAAAAGATTTTATTGAGTCTCAACACCAACAAAGCTTGTGGCTCCGACGGAATTCCACCTTTTGTTCTCAAGAAATGTGCTCCCGAACCAATAGCTGTTCTCTGCAAGTTGTTCAACTACTCATACAAATTGCGGATATGACCGTCTAACTGGAAAACTGCAAGAGTACAACCAGTTGCTAAAAAAATCGAAAAGACCCTACCTAGCAACTACAGACCGATCGCACTGCTATCTATTATTTCAACGATCATAGAGAGAGCTATCAACATCGATCTCATGAGATAGGTACCTTGAACATTCAGGTAATATCAACGATGAGCAATATGGCTTTCGTCATCAAAGATCAACTGGTGACCTGCTCGCTTACGTCTCACATATATGGCAGCAATCTATTGAAAAGTATGGTGGTAACCTTAGGATATCTCCAAGGCATTCGATCGAGTTTGGCATCACGGACTCCTCGTCAAGCTTCCATCTTATGGCTTGCTTCCCCAGCTATGTTTTCTGCTAGCTAGTTTTCTCTCAAACAGGTCTCTCTATGTAGTGGTCGACGAAGTTCCATCTGACTCTCTTATCATGAACGCTGATGTTCCGCAAGGATCAATTCTAGCACCAACACTATTTCTACTCCATATCAACGATTTGTTGGAAGTAACTTCATGTCCAGTAGACAGCTTCGCCGATGATATCAACCTCCATACCGCCGTCTTATCCAGGGCTCCAATACCAGCCAGGCAGGTCAGAAACGATCAAGAAAGAAATGTTGACAACATGAATATGGACTTGGTAACGATTCTCGAATGGGGATTCAATAACTAGCTTGCCGAATCAACTTCTATCATCGACAGTGTAACAGTCAACTAAAAATAATTTTTTGGAATGTGAAATCAATTGTACAACGATGATTAGCAGTGAAAAATGAATGTGTCTCATGGCAATGTTTCGCAGAACATATCGAATTGAATGCCCTGGTGTCAATAGTGTGTTAGGGGAAATGGGATGAATTCCAACAATTCAATTAATAATGAGTTAATAATTTCGAAATCAAGTTTTTTGGGTAAAAATTCAATCAGGTGCTGATTCTGCATTGAGAATTCAGGTAAAATGGACATCAGTTCGAAGAATTCAATGAATAAGTTACTGAATAATTTCGGAATCCAACTGCAAATATTTAAGCAGGTGCTTATTCTTCATTATGAACTTTTCATAACTATTTATTTGTTGCTCTCAAGTACTTAACTAACTATTGTGTTTCATTAGTTGATCAGTGTTGATATTGTTTATGTCATCTTCATAGAAAAAACGATAGAAATATTCTTTCAAATTTTATTAAGTATATGAAAAATAAATAGCCCACTATTAAAATTCAATGTTTCAGTGATTCTTGAGCATTTTTGAAAATGTTAAATCTATACATCATATATTTTTTCGAAGAAAAAAACATTCGGAATTCAATGACCTTATAAAAAAAAGGTGTTCCATTTAAACAATCATAAGTTTGAGTTGTATTTGCAAAACCGTTTCCCGAAAAGAAGAATTGAATGCATCAATGAATCCTGCGTTAAATTATCTATAGAATAAGATTTCAATTTGAGAATTCCGCTTGGAAACTTCGTAGATATAGAGGGGGTTCAAAAAGTATAAATCACCCTGTTTCTTATAAACGGAAAGAGTAATGGAAAATCTGATCAGGTCATCTTGAGTTTCACAAAAAAGTGGCAGGAAGATGACTGAGATATCACGCAGAAGCATTGAAAACTGGACACACTGTACACGTGCAATCAGCCCTTCAAATGTCATATTTTGTCGCAGGTCTTGTGCACAGGCTCAGAGCCTTCGAAAAACTCCTCGAGAACCACCCAGAGCACATCGAAAAAGTGTCTCTTCTGCAGATCTCCGTTCCTTCCCGCACTGACGTCAAGGAGTATCAGGACCTGAAGGAGGAGATGGACCAACTGGTGGGCCGCATTAACGGTAGATTCACCAAGCCGAATTGGTCGCCGATCCGGTACATCTACGGTTGCGTGAGTCAGGATGAGTTAGCTGCGTTCTACAGGTGAGTTGAGGGTAACGTCAGGAAGATAATGACAACAGAAGTTATTTATTGTACTGAGAAAAAAAGTAGTAGATGTTAGGTCGAGGTTCTGTCTGAGAGAAAAACAGCAGAGAGAGACATGAACCGTGAGCTAAAATATATAGTGATTTTCCTAACAAGTGCGGAAAGTGATTCTTTCCCGCACGCGACTGCCGTTGAAATGAACGACGCGAAGCGGAATTCGGTCAATCAGTCGAGTGCGGGAACGACACTTCTCGCATGATTTAGGAACAATATTTTTTCTACAAGCGTAGGAAATTGATTGATTGGTTCAATTGATTATTCATTTATATAGGAACAAATAACAAGAGGAATATATTCTCTATCTACTGAATATAAGTAATAGCTATTGTGAACTTACAGCTTGACGCATTATGTATAGGTTCATTGCGGAAGCCAGCAGGTCCATAGGGTGTTTGGTCTCTAGGTCTCAGACACTTCTAGGAAATGAGCCAAAAATACTTTTTCTTCATTCAGTATATTCATTTCTTCATTGTTGCAACATTCAATGAAACGCGTGTATAGCTTCTCATACCTTTCTTAAGACGGTAGGGGAATTTCTTTCTCCAACTTCTTTTATGCAATTTTGGTCAGTTTGACCAGGAAATATCAAGATATCATCATTTCAACTCAAAATGGTGATTGCTATTGGAACCAAAGTGGAGTATCATTTGAGAGTTAAAATGGTGACATTTTCATATTATTTCCTTGTCAAATTGCCGTTAACTGCGAAGCCCTACCTTTTTCCCAACGCCTCTGATCAAAATTTCGAAAAATTCTCAACATATCCAAACCGGACAAAGAACTTATATACCATATGTACGAGATTTCGTCATCTCATCACAGAGGGTTTCGTAAATATTTACAGAAAACCATCATATCGTGTCCCCTTTCAGATGGCTATAACCCCCCAGGGGGGTATTTTTGGGCTCATGTTTATTTACATTATTTTCAATATTTTTCCTTATAATGATAATGAATAGGTATTGAAATAATGAAATTCATTGAATCCTTCACGATCATAAAAAATGACATAGGATACGACAGACAACAGGACATTCACACACAATTTATATACAGTTACATGAAAATATAACAAAACCACATAGTACACATAATATTCAGTCTTTAACCTTTCCTAGTACCACAAAGGATATGGAGATGAATAAAATGCATTCCATCGATTGAAATATTCGTCGATACTATAAAAACAACCGTTAATCAGAAATTCTTTGAGTTTAATTTTGAAATGATTTTCTCGTCTGTGTACATTTTTCGTTTCGTCAGATGAGTGATTATAAAATTTTGCCCCCTTATAAGATGAACAATTTTCATTCAGACAAGTTGAATGTTTCTGAAGTCTTATCAGTTCACCGTGCCTGGTAGGATACGTATAAAAGTCACAGTTTCGAAAATAATAATTCTGCATTTGCTTCCTCAATAGTAAAATACATTTGTGAATATATAAAATGCAAGGTACCCACAATATTTTATTCTCAATAAAGTGTTGCCAACAAGATTCTCTGTAGTCTATTCCATATATTAGCTGTATGACTTTTTTCTGTGAGACGAATATTTTTCTGAGTTTTGACGAACATTCCCAAATGGCAATATTATGAGAAATATGGGAATATACAATAGCAAAGTAAACATTCAGAAGTTGAGCCCTATTGAAATTGAACCTCAATTATCTAATAGCATAGTACCTACTGTTCACTCTCATACTGACATGATTTATACTCGACTCCCATGTCATGTTACCATCGATAAAAGTACCTAGAAATTAGGTGTTGTCTGATGGTTCAATTATTGCATCACCCACTCTAACATGAAGATTATCAAATTTTCCATTAGTTCTGGAATGAGACTGCATCAGAACAGTTTCTCTTTTCACCACTAAAGAGTTTTTATTACACCAATTCGTGAACTCGGAGCTCAAGGTATTTAATTTTTCTTGGAGCTCCTCTGGGTTATCTGCAATCGCTGCAATCGTTGTATTATCTGCATACAAAACTACATAATCTGAGATTATATGATTGGGCATGTCATTTATGAATAGAATAGAAATGAGTAGACCTAATATAGAACCTTGAGGAACTCCAAGATCAATGTTATACTGCTTCGACTGACAATTGTCGACTTTAACGTGTATCTTTCTGTGAGTCACGTAAGATCTAGAATCTGTGGTTGAAATCTTCCTATGTTATTTCAAATAACTCTACTTGATACACCCTTTTTCGCAGGGATTCGGCCGTAGGACTGGTCACCCCCTTAAGGGATGGCATGAACCTGGTGGCCAAAGAATTCGTCGCTTGCCAGATCAACGTGCCCCCAGGGGTGCTGATAGTGTCGCCCTTCGCGGGGGCTGGAGAGACCATGCACGAGGCCCTCATCTCCAACCCCTACGAGATAGACGATGCGTCAGAGGTCATACACAGGTATGGATCATTCATTGATCATTCCTTAATACTGTTCACCGTTTGATTCACACCAACCTTTGATTATCTCCTATCCTGTATTATATTTCATTCTTATATAGAGCTATTCCCTTCATGCGGAAGGATGGTTGTGTCATCAGCAAATGATGTGATTGTACCGTTTATATTTAGAGAAGCCATATCGCTCACGTAGAGAAGAAAATGGATTGGTCCAAGGACTGGGCCTTGTGGCACTCCATGCTTTATGTTCGAGACCTTTGAGACGCTGCTAGTTTACACCGATTGTTGTCGATCGATAAGATGAGTCTCATATGATCATGAGATATAATGATATTGCTATGCATTTTTGTATTCTATTTGGCTTTTTTAAGTGAACTCTCCATCAGGCAACTCGAGTGCAACTCTGGTTTGTTTGTTGATATGCCGGAATTATAGTCTCATAATTTCTCTACAGATTGAAATTTCAAGGAAATGTTTTCAAGTAGTTGGTCACACAATAAATGAACCTATATGTTTACGAGTTTGATCACCTATTGCCTTCACCTAATTAGAATTTCAAGGAAAGATTTTCAAGAAGTTACTTCTCTCATAGGTTCATATCACCTATTTTTCAAACTCTCAAACACTTGGAAAGAATTGTAGTGCAAAAACAAAGGAACCACTGCAATTTCCTTTCTTGTACTGAGATAGCAAGCACAAAATTGATGTTGTCGAGTTAGCTGGAAAGCTAGCAAGATGTCATTGAAATTGCCAAACATCGATCGATGGTGCGTTCCTCCCGACTCATCCTGTGTATTATATTTTTCATAAAAAATAATGATTGGCAATTATCATCATTATGATTTATTATGATATATGATTATGATTTGTTGTATATTTCCCAATTATGAACAATAATGTTTCTTGGGGTGATAAGGCCAATCAATCAATCACCTGTCCATTCATAGGGCCCTCACGATGCCTGAAGATGAGCGCATCCTGCGCATGAACTACCTGCGCAGGCGCGAGAAGCTGAACGACGTCAACTACTGGACGAAATCTTTCCTTTCGGCCATGGGATCATTGCTGACCCAAGGCGAACAGGACGACGTGGGGTCCATCACTATGCCTGCCGTGACCTTGGATGACTTCGATGAGTACCTGTCCAAGTACGTTCATTCGACTTCTACTAAAAAAATCGATTTGTATTTAATCGGGATGTTCCAAATAGGATGTGTCAACACTGCTTAATTATCATGCGCGAGTGTATATTCACTTTACTTTCCGACAGAGTGCAGTGTGTGAAAAAATTGTGTCCACTTCTATAGAGTTATTCATTGAGAATGGAAGATCTCTGAACTGAAGTTGTAGAAATACAATAAAATTCAAATACCAACTTGGGAATTTCATCATTTCTGAACGAAATAGATGATTTTTCTTCAACTTTTGATTTATATTGGAAATTGATTGTTGCACACCAATATGAAATGATTTGTCAAAATTATGTCTATAGTTGAGAGATTTTCCATTCTTGATTGATCACCCTGTATATCTCTCCTACATTCGAAGCATTTCAATGATCCATAGAGAAAGTATACCTACGAAATATGAAAAATTCTTTGAGCAACAGCTACACAATTTTTCTCTCTTCATTTGCAATTAACGGCCGATGATGCTATGGCAAATACAAGCAATCTGAATTCACATCCATGGCAACATTCTTCTTATTTCTTCAATATCTATGATTGTGATCGAGAATGAGTCGAATTCACTTTTTCCTCTTCTGAAAAGTACCTATGCGTCATGTTACTGTCAAAACCTCGTAAGTCATCCAGAGCTAACTGTTCAGGAGGGGAAAAACGTTTTCCACTAGGTACTTCGAACGATTCAATTTCATTTTTTTAAGGCTATTCCTCCTTTATGAAGGTACCTGCTTGATGAATGAAATCCTCATTCTGAGAAGATTAATATACTCAATGTTCTAATAAACGACATACGATGTGTTTACAAAAATAAATTGAACATTATTCAGACTGAATTGGTTTTGATCAATTACTAATGAAAATTGTCATCTAGTTTGGCCTTGCTTCGCAGTGCATATAGCAAATCAGCTGCAGTTTTCATTATGGGTTCAACAATAATGAACCAAAATATTTCAATCAATGTCTATATTTGGAATGAACAGAATAACATTCTACAAATATCCATAACATCTTCTCAAAAGCTCTCAAGTCCTCTACCAGATAGATAACATACAGATCAGAACCTCGTAATTCTGTTCACATGAAGAATCAAAACAAGATTGTCCTTCGCATCACTGCAGGAATATTCAAAATGATTGACCAAATAGTTAATCAGAAACTTACATTACGTCTATAAGAGAATTGTTTATATTTCCTGTGGAAAATTGAAGAAATGGAATCCATTCTCTTCAAAATTCCCACCATTTATTACACAGCAGGACAATTCCATCTATGCATTTTACTCATTAGCTTATGGAATTTTATTCCAATTCTGACGTTCATGAAATTCATTGTAAAATTCAAACAATTTTGAATGAACGATTATTTATTTATTCACGGAAATATCCATTACAACACTGTACAAGTAAGATCTTAAAACAATAAATAATAATTGCAGTCTTTGAAATATTCCTACAAATGCTAAATCACTAAAAGGCCATTAATACTCCAACTGTCCTTCGCATCACTGCAGAAATATTCGAGAAGATTGACCAAATAGTTCATCATAAACTAACTTTGGTGTCTGACATGGATTTCATTTCAAATAATGAATCAAACAATAGAGATTTATACTTTCTCAACAAGCACAACTTGACCCTATCCTCTTTTGCAGACTTACGAGTTTTTGAGTTAAAAATCTCTCTGAGTAGAGTCAGGAGGTTTGAATTATATCAGATCTAATAGATGTCGCTACCAAAAACATAGACCAAGGTTGGTAGAACTGATTATAATTTGTATAGGAAGGTTGCCTCGATCGATAGTGCGGCAAGGGGGGAAACGGTCACTCGTGACGTCACAGGCAGTAAGACGACAAGTTGTCAACCTTGAAGCGACATGTCATGAAATGTTTACCAAATAGAGTATATAAACATGATACAAACTTTTTGGTCTGCTCAGCATATTTATATTAATTTATAGTATATAATTATAAGTAAGTACCAATATAAAATATGGATATTTACATATACTTCTGTATAATACCTTCAATCTTCGAAATGAGAAGGCAATTTTGGATGGATCAGTAGTACCGAGAGGAATACCTATCTGAAATTTTGTTCCAGGGGCTATTTACCAGGTCGTGATACCAGGTATGTTTGTTTTGAGGTATGGAGCATAATTATGGAGCTAGTGATTACTTATGCATTGATTATGAACCTACTCATCCTATAAATATCCTGCAAATCAGATAATGTCCACAAGAAATTACAGAAAATATAAGAATAATCAACTGATGATCCAGAAGTAGTAGCAGTGGACCAATATTCGTACACAACAGATCACTTATTTTATCAATATACCTCTGTATTCTGAAAAATTAACAAACTTTCCTAGATACCTATAGAAAATACAAGAGGAAATAGTATTTCATTGTTTGATTATATTGTAGTCAAAAACAGAGCAATTGATCGAAGTATTTGAGCATAAAAAAATAACGAAATATGATTTTGAACAAAAGTAATGAAAGATAACACTACTATTATAAGTGAACCTATAATAAAGGATAGTTCAAGGAATCTCTCAAATAAACATAGCTCCTCTTCTATGGGTAACGTACTCTTGCTCAAATATCTCAACTTGAAAACACGTGTGATATCTTCTGATGTCCATTTTACCCGTTCAGCAAGAATCTCAACATTCACAACTGGTCTGGTTCTGATCATTTTTCCAAACTTTCATACTTATGGTGTTTCTCTTGTAGTATTTGGTATTATTGTTGGGATTCCTACCTTGAGTTTTCTTCTCTTTGGTGTGTGATTTAGCTATTCTGCTTGTGCCGTTCGAAATCCTCGGCATCGAAATGGGCAGAACATATTCGCCAAGTTTTGGTATTAAATGAATTAAAAGTACGTCCACAAAATTGAATCCATTTCTCACGAATAGACTCATCTTGTGGAAATTAATGGAAACACAAACTAAATCCACTAGTCTTATTACACTTGTACGAATTTTAACAAAAAGTGACCAAACAAATTATCATTTTTACATTTTTAAGTTCAAAATGTTTCAAATATTCGAAAATACTGACAACTGTCAACTCAATAATTGGCGCCGGCGTACATATCATACACGAAGTGTACGAAAGTGCTACACTTTTCGTGCAAAAGAAAGGTCCTATTACGTCATGAGTTACTCAAGGTTACTCGCGGGGTGCGATCGAGGCAACCTTCCTCTACAAAATAGTCATCAGTTCTACCAACCTTGACATAGACTTATGATGATTTGGTGATGGGTGCGCTGAATTTCGTAGATGGTGAAAATGTTTAAACCTAAAATTCCCTAAAATTCGGACTTCGGAGGTTTTGATAGTAAGCCGACACATGGTTTGTCTTCACAGATACATTGGAAGCACACATAAACTAGCCCTCCTCCTGGATTACGATGGCACTTTGGCTCCAATCGCACCACATCCAGATTTGGCCGTTATCCCAACAGAAACCAAGAACGTTTTGCAGAGGTTATCGAATGTCTCTGATGTGTATATAGCGATTGTCAGTGGTAGAAACGTTAACAACGTCAAAGAAATGGTGAGTCGACAATTTTTTGAATGAATGTGGATGTTGTCGCAGGTATTCATCAATTTATAATGTCATTTGTGAATCAACAATATTCTTCACATGATTCAATTGAGAAACTTACTTGATATTTTTTTTTTCCTGCAAATGACATTAACAGTGTCTTTATAATTCAAATGACACTCAACAGGCAGTGAAAGTACTGCCTAGACCGAAAAAGTTTGTTGCTATTCATAGTGCCAAGTAATAATTTGAATAAAATTAACAATTGGTAATTAAAATTGACAGTGACTCGGTGAACACAAAATGAAGGATTATTTTGATTTTGCGTAACAGTGCAACCGATTTGAAGGAACAATTATAGGGTGAATCTCAAAGTGTAGTTTATTTTCAATCTCAATCTTTTTTATTCCCATTCTTTGTTATACACATTAAATAACATCTCATATGAATATGAATATATTTCATCAGGATTTACATTGAAATCACATGAATAATCAGACAGATTCATTCCTGGTATGAGATTATTCATGAGTTATTAAAATAAACAACAGATACAAAAATAATAATGATAAAAACGAGAATCTCATAAACATTATGACATGATGAAATAAATTAGTGAATGAGAAATCATTTACTCAGGTTTGATTTTTACTTTGCAAGAGGATTTTATTGACATTCATTTTGATATGGGCGATATTTGTGCAACTATTGATACCTTCAGGTAATTTATTGAATTTAGAAATAGCTCCACGAGTAAACTTTTTTTGACCAAGTGTAGAATGAGCAGCATCAAGATGGAACAACTCATATTGTCTAGTATCATGTTCATGGATTTGAGAATTCCTCACCAATATGAAGTCAGATTTGACTGATTTGAGGTGCTTGTTAATAATATCGAAAGAAATTTCGAGAGTATTGATCAGATAGTGCTTTTCCAAAGAAAATGTACTTATTTATTCATGAAGTTGATTTATATATTATCAAAATAAGTTGTTTGACAAAAAATTGCACATATAAAATATTTAAGGTAACAGAGGTACGGGTATTCAAAGGTTTGAAGAAGACTCCAACTATTGAACATTTTGTTTACATTTTCTCAAATAACGCAAAAAAGCCGATATTCTCAAGTCCAGCATCAGATACTTTTCATCAGATATTTCATCAGAAAAATGAATCAAAATCCTGCTCTTTTTACATTCTTGATCTATTGAATTTCGTTTTGAATTGAGCTGTTATCTCACATTTCTAATTAACAATTTTTGGCCAAACAATTCACTCTCAGATTCACCCTGTATGTTGCACATGACAGAAAAGCCTCGACCACGCCTTGACTATAAAAGGCCAGCCGCGGCATTTGATCTTGTACTTTTCTGCCTAGTAAAACAATAGTTATTCGTTCAACTAAGGCAGCAAAGTACCATAGATTAACTGTCGCGGCGAATATATTTAGTTCATAGCCGAGTGTAGCGAGGCTAAAAGGTCCCACTTTGCTGCCATGTGAAAAATAGTTTTTCTCCATTTGTTATGAAACCAATTTTGTGTAATTTTTTACAGGAAACCTCAACATTTTGTGCCCACTCAATATCAGTGTCAATTCTGATCACCAATTTCATTCAAATCACTTGGAACGTTGCATACCAACAAACCTCTTATGCTTAGGCAGAGAAAGTTCATCTCTGCTGCCTGTTAAGTGTTATGAAAAAGCCACTTTTTTATGCCGTTTGGAGAAAAATAACTATTCCGCCCATCTATTTGATGCTCTCTTCTCTTCCTCCATTCGTGTAAACGGTTTTTATTATATTTGTCGATAACTCTCATCTATACAGGGTGATTCAAAAGTAAGCGGCATCCTTTCAGAGGCGTATTCCTTGCTTGAAAATAAGGCAAAAAGTTCCTATTGATAAGGATCCGAAAATGCTTCCTAAGGGAGCTACGGCCCTTTGAATAGGACACCTCAAAGACGGTTTTTTCTCTATAACTTTAAAATCCTTCACAACAAATTTTTAAAAATTGGTGTACGGCATAAACATTCGATGGTAAATAGGACTCCGTATTCGAAATAATTTTCAAACGAAATCACAGTAACCTGAATATCCGGAGAAGAAGGGATATTTTTACACTTACCCTCTCCCGCATGTGACGCCCCTGAATGAAATTCTGAAATTTCGAATACGGAGTCCTATTTACCATCGAATGTTTATGCCGTACACCAATTTTTAAAAATTTGTTGTGAAGGATTTTAAAGTTATAGAGAAAAAACCGTCTTTGAGGTGTCCTATTCAAAGGGCCGTAGCTCCCTTAGGAAGCATTTTCGGATCCTTATCAATAGGAACTTTTTGCCTTATTTTCATGCAAGGAATACGCCTCTGAAAGGATGCCGCTCACTTTTGAATCACCCTGTATATTATTGCAAAACTTCTCATAATATTCCTGATGTCTGAGTCATAAATAACATTCTCCTTATAATCATCTGGTAGGTACAGTTATTTCCTGACCATAAGTCGAAACTAATCAAGAAGAGTGACATCTATAATCTACTCCATGGTTAATTATTTTAATGCCTCGACTGAAAGGGATAAAACCTTGACAACACTACTAAAATCTATTATCGTGTGATATTTTTTTCATTATCTTGCCCCCATCATGAGAAATACTCAGACACTTCAGATTGATTGCTCTAATGTAATATTCTCAAACCATTAACGTAATGAATCATTATGGATTGCCAATTAAAGTGATAATAAACTTTGTTGTGCCTTTGTTTGTCATTTAATTTATTATACGGAGACAATAATGATTATCTTATACTTTCATTTCATCGTATAATGTTGTTGCCTATTGACGTTATGTTCATAAGCTAAGAAATGATTCCAGAAATATGGGGATATAATATCTTCCATAGATTCAAAATTAATTAGAAGCCTTCATCATCCTTTGATTATAATGAAACCATATTTTTTATTGTTTCAAAGATCGAATATGAAAGAATTGAGGTCATATATCAAATTATGATATAGATTTGAGTTTACCCTGCAGGATGATGAAAAACTCTCAGAGGATGCGACAGTATAGTATTATTTTTTATTTATTCAACCACGCATCTGAAGGATGTCTCGAAACAAACATAATAATATCTAGCATATCGTTATGAGTTTGAAACATTGGGATATTTGTAGGGCAAAATCTCGTGCTGTCAGGATTTCAAAATGGAAATTTTTGTACATGTAGGTGAAGTATATCCAAAATCAATTGCAGAATATCATGCTCAAAGAAAAAATAACCACGCACACATTTTATGGGAAAATTTCTTACGGTGAAAATGGCAGAATTTTTGATATGTTGTAGGGTGAAACATCATGAATTTTGTGTATTTTTGAGACTTCGAAGCTTAATGAAGAATATGAAAATCTCGTGATATGCATTCACCCTACCGGAATTCATCAAAGATAGATATGTTTCAAGGTTATAGAAAGGATGTAGTGGCCTTTTTACAGGGTGGTCAACAATAAAATGATTTTCAGAAAATCCGAATGCCATCGCCTATATGAGAAAGCTGATTTATTCAGTTCATCAATGGGGTTCGATCAGAATAAACGTTGATCGAAGAGAAGATTATTATAATCATTTATGCTGCAGAGCTATCTGAATAACAGAAGTTGCCAATATACTCATTTAGATCATTTGATCATGGCATAGTCGTGAATATGGCTTCTGATGTCATTCTCTGAATTCTTTCCAACGGAATACAATGAGAAGATTTACGAATATTCTAAATTACTCTGCCATTCTCTGAATCCTTTCCGACGGAATACAATGAGAAGATTTACGAATATTCAACATTACTCTGGTGGTCACGTTGCTGTTATGGCCATATGCAAAAGATACTAGGGCTCTTCTTCACTAAGAAAAGATCCATCTTACATAAAAATCCACTTCGTTGACAAAATGATTCAATGTTTCGTTATGATTTTTCTTATTAGGTGTATGTGTGCATCTGTGTATACAGGTTATCAATTTGAAGACCATCAATGCAAATATCTCGCAAAATTCAAAAGTTGGGAACACGCCGTTATGCACGAATGTTATGAGGCTAGTAAGAACAAGAAAAACCATATCGATGATTGTCTCATGATAAAAAAAATATTCTCCATATCATGTATCTTGTGATGCATTCCTTTTTTCATATACAACTACAATATGATTTGATATAACAGTTATTACAATACATGTAATGATGATTGATAATAATATATAATTCGCCGTGGTAGACCTGGTGAATGCAACCACTGAGAGGAAAAGCTCAAAATGTTTTTCAATGGAAAATTCTGGGTTCAGCTGTTGTCCTCTCTTTGTGGATGATTCAAAAAGAGGATTATGTCAAGAGGTTCTCAACTCGAATATGATATCTTGCGCACTCAAGTAACCACAGTAAACTAGCTACGTGCTCTCATGATCCTAGAGTTCCAGAACCTTGCTTACAGGTGCAGTAACAACCCATCAATCATTGAGCTTGAAGGACTCAAAAGTAGGTACACAAAATTCATGATGTTTCACCCTCTATCGCCGAATCTGGTCATACGATCGAGTTGGGCCAATGGAGTCATTTACTTAGAATAACTACAGCTACAACATATCGAAAATCCAGTCATTTTCACCGAAAGACATTTTCCCATATATTGTGTGCGTGGTCCTTCCTCCCATAGTTGGTGCCCTAGAAAGATATACGAAACTTAAACCGAATATAGCAAATTGGTACCGTTCTATACTCTCACATCCTTAGTGAAATTAACTTTCTCATAAATATTTGAGGTTCATGTTCCAAGAATGATTTTTACGAAATATCTGTTCTATATAAGAAAGCATCAGAAGTACTGTATCGTCTTCCATATGACACCCCATCGAATCAACTATATGAAGAAACAAATACATTTTCTTTGGAAGAGCACTATCTGATCAATACTCTCAAAATTTATTTTGATATTATCAACAAACAACTCAAATCTAACTTCATATTGGTAAGCAATTCTCAAATCCATGAACATCATACTATAGACAATATCACCTGTTTCATCTTGATACTGCTAATCCTACACTTGGTCAAAAAAGTTCACTCATGGAGCTGTCTCAAAATTCAATAACTCACCTGAAGATATCAAAATTTGCACAAATATCAGCCAATTCAAAATTGAAGTCAAGAAACATATACCCTTGCAAAATGAAAATCAAACCTGAATGAATGATTTCTAATCCACTAATTCATTTCATCATGTCATAATTTACTTGTCATGAGCTCCTTGTTTAATTATTATCATTTTTGAATCTGTTGTTTATTTCAATAACTTAGATTTATTACCGCATGAATAATCTCATACCAGATATGAATCTGTCTGATTCATGTTATTTCATAGTGAATGTTGACGAAATATATTTATATTTATGATGAGATGCAATGTAATGTTCATAGCAAAGAATGAAATAAATATTATTATCATTATCATTATTAAGTTTGAAGTTTCCTTTAAAGTGAGTGCAGGTACAGCACCAGACACTTCCATTAAGGGAAACTTCAAACCCGCCGACGCCGCAGTTTGAAAATGTATTCTTCAGAGTTCTATACATTGCGGAAGCCAGCTTGTGCACTCTGAAAGATGAAAATCAAACATTACAGGTGGGAATTGATGGTATCACTTATGCGGGCAACCACGGTCTGGAAATCCTACATCCCGATGGGACCAAATTTGTTCACCCTATGCCTACGGAATTCCATGACAGAGTAGGCGGACTGATGAAGGAACTTCAAGAGAAAGTGTGCAGGGACGGCGCATGGGTGGAGAATAAGGGGGCACTTTTGACCTTCCACTTCAGAGAGACTCCAGTGCATCTCAGGTGAATGTCTCGAATGAGTATAAAGGGGGATTTATGCAGCATCATTCAACATTTATCAAGTAACATTCATCATTCAACAAGTGGCAATTGAAAGTTAAACTACATGTTTTCAATGATGTGTTTATGCAGACATCTAACAATGAACAAGTAACAAGTAGGAAGTTGGCCAACTCTTAACTTTATCACTTTGATTGAACCAGGATTTCTTCTAGTGCGCAACTACATAACGTGAAACAATTGCAATCAACAGAGTAATTGTGAATAAAAGACACCCAGTCTCTTCCAGATCAGAAAACATGATGAAATTCGAAATTTCAGCTCCTTATGTAAATTGTAAACAACGAATTTGTAAGGTTATCGCTTTGATAGTCCAGATTTAGGGCATGTGTGCTTGCGTACTATCAATCCATCAATTGTTAATTTGATTTGCATAAATGTCAATATTCTCATCACTTGTTATCAATTGTTAATCGTTAATTGATGAATGTTACTTGATAATTGTTGAATGTTGTTGCATTAATCCACCTTCAGTCAGCTATCTTTGTTATGCTCTTGGTAATTTTGGAGAGTCATGAAACTCTGCAATCAGGTTTTCTCACGTTTTAGAAGTGTCATTCCTACTAGAAAATTAATTATACTTTATATATTATTTGTATGAAATGTATCAATGAAGAAAAGAATGTAATGCAATAACTGAAATAAATAAATAAGATTCATATGCATCACTTTGAAATTACTGGTATTCTTTCGTTCTGAACCTACTGAATTATTTCGCTTGAACTGAACTGAATCAGTTAACATGCACTCTACCTTATCAAAGTCTTTCGAAAGAATGCATTTCATTTACTGATTCTGTTCAGTTCTTGTGAAATATTGCATTCAGTTTTGATTTATTCGGAGAAATCTTATAACTGTTGAAAGATGAATATTAATTACCCTCTGAAATTTCGATCAGGAAACACTATAGGTACTGGTGAATGTAAAATTTGAACATATATATTCCGATCTCAAATGTTTCTGAAGTTCCAGTAGTGGCCGTATTTTATGCACTCCTTCATATTGTCCAGAATAAAAAGTTTCAACTCATGTATAATAAATCAAGCTGATCATAACTTCAACCTCTTTGACGAAATGAACGGACTGATCTGATATGATATCATTTCTTCAGTCTGAAACATAACAACTGGATCAATGATGGATATATTCATTTCAGTCATGGAGTTCAGAATGATGGGATATCATTCATGATCACAGTCAAAACGATGAATCGCATGATGTGTCTCATCACCGAAGGTCTAATTTGTTACCGTACGAAAGATGGTAACCGAAACTTTGTTTCACCCTGCTAAAACCGTGTGAAATCGTTGTTTTTATTTCCATCTATTTATTTATAAAAAATGTGACTTCCAGTCAATATCATGTTCTGGTATAAGGAAGTATAGTAAATAATATAAATGTATGTTTTGTTGTATATATCCCGTTCATAAAATAATACACGTTACAAAGCTATAACAATCACAATGAACTCATAAATAATATAACATTTCAATACTTCAACTACGTATTGAATTTTGACAAATCATTTTATATTGGTGAGCAACAATCAATTTGAATATGCATCAAGAGTTGAGGAGGAAAATCATCTATTTCGTTCAGAAATTATAAATTTTTTAAGTTGGTATTTGAATTTTATTTTATTTCTGCAATTCTTTATATTATCTGGAGATTTGTTATATTCGAAAAGAGCAGCGTGTGTGAATCTTTTTTGGCCCATAGAAGAATCAGCAATATCAAGATGAAATGCACCATATGTTGTCTAGTTTGGTAATCATGAATTTCATTGTTTCGTGCTAAAACAGAATTGGATCTCAAATCTTTTATTTATGATATTGTATGTAATTTTTGTATTCCCAATTCGAACATTTCTTCTGATGAGAATGATTCAGTTATTTTATATAATTGATTTCTTGGTGTATCATATGTATAATATTCCATTCAGTTCCTTTGCTCATGTATTGAAACAAACTGCCCATACCAAATACATGAGAAAAGCATATTGACATCCTCATAGGAAAATAATCTCCCATTATTGGTGCTTTAAGAAGATGTCCTAATCTTAGTACATATACATAAAATATCATTCTCTTTTCACATATACTCAGTAGAATTAACTATCTCATAAATATTTGGGGATCTTGTTCCAAGAATAGTTTCAACAATTTCTGTTCTATATAAAAAGGCATTGAAATTATTGTATCGTATTTCATATGATACTCCAACGAATCAACTTTATAAGAAAACAAACACATTTTCTTTGGAAGAGCACTTTTTAATCGATACTCTCAAAATTTTCTATTATATCATCAACAAAAAGCTTAAATCAAATTAAACAATATATAACTTGTTTCATCTTGAAGCTGCAAATTCTAAACTTGGGCAAAAAAAGTTTACACATGAGGCGATTTCGAAATTCAATAGATTACCAGATGATATCAAAAACAGCCCAAATATTATGCAATTCAAAAACGAAGTGAAGAAATATATTTATATGCAAAGGAATGATCAAAGCTGAGAGACTATGAATGTCCTTTTTTTTTTCGCTGTTTTTTTTTCCATTCTTGTTCAGTATTCCCAACAACATATAATCTCCAAAAGTTCAAAATAAATTCCAATACCTACCTCCTGTCCCTATCCTCCCTAGGAACGCACGATGTTCTTTGAACATTATAGGGATTCCCTTTCGTGCGCTCCAAGCGATAAAAAAATATATATATAATATGGCTCTTATTTTGAGATATCTTAATGATAAGTAAGTTTTGTCCACTATTTGTAATTTCAATTATACAACAGTCGATGATACTTCATGAATGATCTTATACCATCAGGAATTACTGTCTGATCATTCATGTCATTCCTACTAGAAAATGAATTATACTTTATATATTATTTGTATGAAATGTACCAATGAAGAAGAGAATGTAATGCAATAACTGAAATAAATAAACAATTAAATAAATACATTGATCTAGGCCACCCTTGGAGAGGGAAGCCACTGCCCTGATCGAAGCTGCAGGTTTCAACGCTGCCCAAGCCCATTGCGCCATCGAGGCCAAACCTCCGGTGCAGTGGAACAAGGGAAGGGCCTCGATTTACATCCTCAGGACGGCTTTCGGAGTGGATTGGTGCGAAAGGATCAGGATCATATACGTGGGAGATGATGCCACCGACGAAGATGCCATGCAGGTAATTTTTTCTGAAGATATGTGGATTTCGTGTCAAAACCGGTAATAAGTTCTAGGTTATAGTTGTGAATTTTTGCCAACTCCATTTTTGATATTCAAATCAATCTATTTTCTATTTTTTTTATTTTTGTTTCCTGAATTCTTCACTTTCTTACTGATGAACATTGAATTTTTGGATATTTCTCATCTGCACCTATTGAAAATGCGATGAATGATACCTATTCTATATTCAACGCCTGTCGCCTCATATTTTCTTTCCATTTCCGTGAAAGTGTTCTGCTTGATGGAAATTAGATAGTGATGGGTTTATACGTTCAGTTCCTGATTGAGGATTTTCAGTGCCTGTCGAACAAAAACGGCAAGAGAAAAGTGCCAAGTATACTGAAAAACTCCTAGTCCAAGAGTACAAATTTCGACTGTCATCTTATAACGAGATGATATAGAACCCAAAGGCACATAAAAATATTTCCCATGATCCAATCACTATCCTGAGCAAAATTACTGAACATAGTATATTGTGGCACGAGCCTGAAGGGCGAGTGATGCAAACACACGAGTGAGAAAAGTACTTTTTCCAACATGTTGCACACTATACTCTTTCCACAACTGCAGTTATTCAAAGAATCCAAAGTAATGTAAATTTTGGTATTTATTTTATGATGTGGCACTATTCCACATCGAATATTGTTACCAAAGGGTAGACGCATTTTCTAGTTCCTCAAAATATTTTAGAAAAGTTCACTTTCCGAAAAAGATTTCAAGTCTGTATTTTTTTTAGATTCCACTAATTTTTCGTATATGCCAATTCATACTTTTTTCTTGAAATTACCGTAAACACATCCAATTTTCGCAGCTTTTTCCATCATCTCTGTCTCTGGCAGTGTATACCGATATCAAAATCGTCACATCTCGGTATATACATCATATTATCCATTATGAATGGTTGGAATAATATTCGATGGAAAATGCGATTTCTATCGAAAGCACTTATGAGAACTACCCTGAAGAATTCAAAAAACTTCTTCTGACAGTTGTGACAATCATTCAAAGCTGAACAGCAGTCAATTCAGTTTTGGTCGATTCTTGCTCCATGGAATGGAATGGAAATATTTCACACAGTATGCGCTACTTTTCATAGCAGTAGTAGAAAAAATTGTTTTCATAGTATCCCTGAATTTCAGAATTTTAACCAAAAAGTTAGATGTTAAGTCGGCTCACTCATCTCGTTCTTGAAATTTAAAAAATTATAGCTCGTAAGCCCAGTGATGGTTTAGGGCGTTTACATCAACTTCTCTTTTTCTAATGAGATAAGGAACCATATATTCTATACTTGAAGCTATAAATTGAATTACACCCTGTATACTAACTTTCCCAATGCCATATGAAATTGTTCCCACGGGAGTGAGGAATCAATTTTCTTTCTACTCACATAACTGAAATTTTGTTGCAATCAGAATCATTCAAAACAATTTCTGTTTGTATCAGAATTCTTCTTTAAAAATTCATGCGAGATGTAGACGAAAGTGAAATCGAAGAGGATGTTATTGTCAGAAGATTTTGCATCCCATTGACAAAGGTTTGTGAGTACATATAAATATAAACATAACTAATAGTGTATAGATATGAACAGATAAGTAACAAAAAATTTTAGAATAAATCAAGTACAAATACAATAAAAGTAAAATAGATTACACATATTTTCGAAATGATTCATTAAAATACTCTTGTAGGCTATAAAAGGGTCTATCAGCTAGCAAATTTCTCACTGCTTTCCTAAAATGCACATTGGTCAGATTTGCAGATCTTATATCTACTGGTAAGTGATTGAAAAGCTTTCCACCATTATAAAAAATGGAATCCTTGATTAATGTTGAGTTGGGTATGGGAAGTCTGATATTAAATATGCTATTACGAGTAGCATATGGAGAAGAAACAAAGTCAAACTCCGTTTCGTGTTTGTATACCAGGCATACAGTTTCAAGAATAAAACAGTGCAACGACAGTTGGAATCTTATTGGCAGCAAAATAATTCCTGCATGAATCCCTAGGTTTGACCTTACAGAGACACCTTACAGCCCTTTTCTGTAATATCAACACAGAAGAGAGAAGGGTTGCACTGCATGATCCCCAAAAAGGTATTCCATATCTCATTTGGGAGTCTATTGAAGCGTAGTACCTAAGCCGTTTTTGCTGTATGAAAACCCAACTCATTAGAAACCATTCTCACTGCATAACATCCGGATGAGATTTTACTCTTGAGTTGTCTATTCTATATTCCGAAGAACTGTGTGTGAGATCTTATCTTATCTCTGTGGGTCATTCATTCTTCAGTATGCTAAATTACGATAAACGTAAAACACAATATTGATGTGAGCAAAATTATGCAATCAGAATATGAATACAAACCTGAGAAATCTAAAACTTTAATACCTCGAATCAAAGAGTTTCTATCTTCTATTTACGCATGTGTATATGAAAACTTCTTATTGACATAGGTTACGGTACGCCCGCTCTGCTGCGCTCGTGTTTAAAATGGTGTTTTCTCAACTCGGGCGTTCTCATTTGGGTTTTCAACCTACCTGGACCCTTACGCCCGAAACGCGAAATATTAATGATTCCACCCGAGTTGCGACGCCCGACATGAGAATTAATCGTTTAAAATACTAAAAGGACGTTTATAACACTTGTTACATAATATACTATTATTTCAAGAAATCGATCACCTTTTTTTACTTCTCTACTTTCTCTCGCAGGCTCTGAAAGGCATGGCCGCCACCTTCCGAGTAACCTCATCCCAAATCACGAAAACCTCGGCGGAACGACGCCTTCCCTCCACCGACTCCGTGCTGACGATGCTCAAATGGGTGGAGCGCCATCTGGCGAGGCGGAAGCCCAGTCTCGATCCGACGATGTACAACAGGCGGAATTCCGCTCAGGTAGGGTTGCGACTAATCATAATAAATAACTTTGATCGAAGAACATTTTCCATAAGAAGAGTTGTAAAATATACAGTGCGTCCATAAAGTAACGCATAAATTCATTATTGGAACAAGACAATCAAATTTACTAATAGCAAATACGTTCAAGTCAAATATCGGCAAACAATCAATTTTTCACACAGGAATCGTTCTATACAAGTCATTACCAAGTCAATTGAGGAATATACAGGAAGCAACTAGATTCAAAATTAACTTGAAAAAATATCTGCTTCAGAGACTTTGATAATTCCATTTCTTATTTGAATACCTACTTATAAAAGACTAGGTTGATATTGCATGATTATTAGCATTTTTTTTAACTTGTTATATCTTATTATAATTTCATAATTGTATGTATAACATTATGTATATTGTTTATGTATCCCTATTATAAACAACTATGTTTCTTGGGGTAATAAAGACAATCAATCAATCAATAGATGAACAATAAAATTAGAAATTTCCGAAACAGGTCGATTTTTGATTTCAATTTACTATTGTTTCAAATCATAATCTAATATACAGGGTGAACCACTTTCGTTTAATGACGTCTTCACCATTTTTTTCAAATGAAACCCCCCCTTTTTTTTCAATTTCCAAATTGCCTTCGCTGAGCTGATTCCAGAAATGTATAATATGTTGCTTCAAATTGGTTCAGGGTGGGCAAAAATGCAAAAAAGAATATGAAAATTGTTTATGGAAAGTAATACGTTACTGAATGTATTAAACAAATTAAATGGAATCATGTAGTTATTATTATTATGTTGAGTCCGCATCTTATCGACAATACCAATCATCATTAATATTTCAATCCTGTCACTTTCGGTTAAAGGCATTTTGTAAAAAAAATTCACGAACGTACCTTCTCTAAAGCATTAACAATACGAAACTGTGCTTCAATGTTTTTGACAGTTTCGTCAAATTAACAAAATGGTAAAAGATAATGCCAAACAAAAAGATTTTTATAGTCCACGGGCTTGGATCACTAATAAAAGCTGTAAGATACAATAATTAAGAATAATGCTGGATGTTCTTGATAGTTCATCAAAGTAGTTGTATAACAATACGTAATTTCATTTAATGTGTTTATGACGTTTATTCATTATTTTTATTACTTTATAAGTAAATTTCTGCATTTTTGCCCACCCTGTAGCAATTTGAAGCAACATACTATACATTTTTGGAATCAGCTCAGCAAAGGCAATTTGGAAATTGAAAAAAAAGGGGGGAGGTTCCATTTGAAAAAAATGGTGATGACGTCATTACACAAAAGTGGTTCACCCTGTGTATTTGATTATGATTTGAAACAATAGTAAATCGAAATAAAAAATCGACCTGTTTCGGGAATTTCTAATTTTATTGTTCATTTAGCCAATAATGAATTTATGCGTTACTTTATGGACGCACTGTATAGTGTATTGAATAAATAAGATGCAAATAATATCGGGGGAGCTGTAAAGTGACTATAGGAGGAGGTGACGTTAGCTGTTTGCCTGAAACCTCAGGGTCTACTGACCGAAATCACAAATGTGCGGCTGGCTTCTGTTTGTTGACTCCGTTTATTTGTTGTTTCGTTATCTACCAAGTGCTGCCTATCCTTTTTGCACTTCCTTTCACCGAACTGATGAGGGCCGAAAGCCAAAAACACGTGTATACGCTTATCTCTTCATGAGGGCTATGTTCAAAAACCTCCTCTTATCATAAATAATGCTGGTGTTCCGCAAGGATCAATTCTAGCACCAACACTATTTCTACCCCATATCACCGATTTGTAGGAAGCAATTTCATGTCCAGTACCCTCCATACAACCTCCTCTTCTAGGGCTCCAATACCAGCCAGGAAAATCATAAATGAACGAGGGAGAATGTTGACAACATGAATATGGACTTGGCAACAATTCTCGAATGGGGATCTAATAACTTGGTAGATTACAATGCAAACAAAACACAAGGATGCCTTTTCTCTAGAAAAGCCGATCTCACTGTGCCAAACATAAGCTTGTCAGAAGTAACCATTCCTTTGAAGACATCCATTTCGATGCTTGGTATCACTCTCAGCAATAATCTTTTAATGAGAAATCACGTGAGATCAATTGGTAAAAGTGCATCCCAAAAACTTTGTTTTCTGTTTCGAGCCAGGAGCTATTTCACTGCCAGTCAGCTTCTTATGATCTATAAGGCACAGATCCGACCTGTCCTGGAATACTGTTTCCATATTTGGAGTGCAGCACACAAACATACCCTGAAACTGTTGGATTCTGTCCAAAAAAGGGCAATTCGTCTCGTGGGTGATGCCTCGCTCACAAACTCACTCACTGCTCTGGAACACTGTAGAAAAGTTGTCGATCTGGTTCCATTTCATAGATATTTTCATGGATGATGCTCTTCTGGAATATCAACAATTGTTGTTTCTCCCTTGGCAGTCCCCGCGGGATTAAATCGAGTTAGGGCTTCGCACCCCTTCGTGGTCACTTTGGAGACCTGTAGAACATCTCTTCCCAAAGACTCGTTCATCCAACAAACAGCGAGGCTCTGGAACACATTGCCAAGGAAGGTGTTTCCCGAGGCATACTTCCAGAAATTGGTTCTCACGATGTTCACTGAAATTACAGAGGATATCCATTTTCTTGGGAACCAGAACATAAAAACAAAGAAAAGTACAGATACAAATCATTCAATATAATCGAATTACATATTTCAATTCATAGTGAAATATCCAAATGAACATTTCCAATGGGGTTGTACACACTAGTCGAATGTATGCTACAAACCTATTTTATATCGATTATTTCGAGTATACATATAGTTAATTTGATGCAAAAGCATTGGTGATTTTGAATCATTGCAAATATTTTTTTTCCGTGGCTGGAAAAAAGTTTGAATTTTCATCTCTTTAGGAATGTTATAAAATGTAACTTCATAATTTACTTCTTTCCCACGGAGTAACGAATAATTACTTTTTTCCCGGATAAAATATCACATACCAATAAACTGTTGATGGTTTATGTTGTGCAATAGTTCCGAAAAATAAGCCAATAACACCATCTCCGAGAACGAACTGCAAGCCATTTCATTTTCCATTCGACCGTGGTTTCGTAAATTACTAATCAACCACTAAATTAGCAAGTTCTGAAAATCGAATCACAGAATCAGACTGACAGATATTTGATTACTTAAAAAAATGATAAAGATGCCAGCAAAAAGATGCCTACAACGCAGGTTGCATTCCTGTTGAAAAATTCATATTTCACATCGATAACTGTCTGATTTTGATTAAATGTAATTTCTTTTTTATATTGATTCATATTTTTTCCTGTCACAAAAAAATTAGTGTATTATACACGGGAAAAATATTAGATTAGATATTAGAATTCAGCTCACGGTGAAAATATATTCTCGTATTGATTTTCATCAAATAACAGATGATTGTTGTAATCTTCCAGTCAGATCCCGTACTATTACTTGAGAGAATACTTTTCAGCAACACCACATGACACAGACAACACACAAACACTAATAGTAATAATAATCACGAGATATTACTAAGTATTATTAGAGGCATTATTAGACATTATAATAAATGTTTCAATGAAAATTCTATACCAGTCATTTTCAACCCATTACATGCCTTATTTCGACATTTTGCTATGGCAACCAGTGAATTTTTTAAAGAGATTTCATTCACATAAGCATTTAGACAACATTGAAATAATTTTGATAAATTATTCCATTTTCCGTATAACTATAGTAAGAGGATTATGGAATGAATTATTTTTATAACATAACGTATCTGATACTATGAATTTCATTCCACCAGGGAACAGGGAGAGTAAATATCCACTTAACGTTTTTTTCTTTAATTTTATCCTGGAATGGAGAGTCTGGTACATACATTTTCGAAAAAAAATGCATGTACTCAAAAAAAATCTGGCAATAATTCATTTCTTATGGGGATTATAAGTGAACATTTTTCTTAATTCGTTCAATATATCTCATTATCCCTTGAGAACGTCTTGAAATTTTGGTGAAATTCATAGATTTCAGTAAAATCTTGAAATTCATATTATTGGCGAATTTCATAAATTTCATGAAACTGGCAAGTGCAATCTCATTTCGAAACTAATATTCTTTTCCCACCCTACACACAGGTGGAGAATCACACAATCCAGATGGAGATGTCCATTGCTCCGATGGGGGCGACGAGTAATGCGGCGCCAGTGGACGGCCAGAAATGAACGCCCTGTGTGGTGGGCGGTGGTCTATCGTAGCGACGGTAGCTGCGAGTAGTAGGTGGTAGAGTACAGGGTGCGCTTCTAAAAATGGAACCCCCCCTTAATTCTTTTGTTTTCAGAGGTATGAAAAAATGTTTTTTGAAACAACCCAAACTTACATTTCGTGAAATTGTTTAATATACAGGGTCATTAGTTTTTCCGGAAAGGAAATGAACTTTGATTTTTTCTACAGAACACCCAATATATTTTTCGACATGTCGATAGAACCTCTCTCTGTGATCTCAAAAATATACAGGGTGAGTCATTAGTGTGGCAGAGTTCGAGATAGATAAACAGAAATTCCAGAGATGATCTAGGATCATGAGTAGCACATTTCCGAATTATTTCGCTTCATACAGGGTGACTCAGGAATCCGTGGCGTATCAAATTTATTCTTTTTCTCATGGGACACCCTGTATTTCATTGCATTTTCGCATTCTCCTTTGTGAGCTGATTTCATCAGAGCATCACACTTATTGGGGTCTAGCAAGAATGATTCCAGAGATATAGGGTGTTCAAAATCGCCATTTTTCATTTTCAGGATTTTTTTGCGTCTAAACTATTCATTATTGGTCAAAACGGCTTTCATGTCCCCATCCCAACTTTTGATTTACTATCTACTGATCTCCAATTGGAACAGATACAATTGTGATCAGAATGCTGAATCATGAATCACCCTGTATTTGTTCCAATTGAATTTAGGTAGATAGTTAATCGAAAGTTAAAATAGGAACATGAAAGCCGTTTTGACCAATAATGAATAGTTTCGACGCAAAAAACTCCTAAAGTTGAAAAATCTCGATTTTGAACATCCTATATCTCTGTGATCATTCTCGCTAGACCCCAAGTGTGATGCATTGATGAAATCAGCTCACTAAGGAGAATGCGAGAATGCTATGAATTACAGGGTGTCCCATGAGAGAAAGTAGAACTTTGATACGCCACGCATTCTTGAGTCACCCTGTATGAAGCGAAATAATTTAAAAATGTGCTGCTCATGATCCTAGATCATCTCTGGAATTAGTGTTCATCTATCTCCAACAATTAAGCCTTCATCTCATTTTGCCACACTAATGGCTGACCCTATATATGAGTTGCATATTTGGATGGAAAATAGTTGGGTTATTGATGATAAAAGTTCATCAAAATACCGCTTCATGAACCTTCACTCCATATCATCTAATAATGTGAGTTGAACATAGTGGGTTTAAAATTATTGTATATATCTTGTTTAGGCTCTTTGGAAATGTCATGATATTTTTCAGATGTATGATATTGTTTATTATGAAATTGAAATCTTTCCATCTCAATTCAAAGAAATATGAATGGAAGATGCGGTATTTCGGTAAACTTTGATTAGCCTTAACTCAATTATTTTTCATTCTGGTAGGGTGTTTCATTGAAAAAAACGAATGACCCTGTATATAAAGCAACTTCTTGAAATATGAGTTTGGGTCGCTTCAAACAACTTTCTTCTTCAACATTTCCTCACATCTCTAAAAACAAAAGAGTTAAGGGGGGGTTTCATTTTAAGAGGCGCACCCTGTACGATTACTGAGAGAAGATTATCATTGTCAATAACATAAGTTTGGAAAAAACTCATTGGTCTGATATTGGCAAGTCCTCTTCTGATGCGGTCATAGAAAAAAAAAAGTGAAATACCAATTTATAATCAGTCTGTAAGATACTGGAATTGTACAGTGTGTGTCCAGTTGTCGATGCTTTTCCGTGATATCTCAGTTATCTTTGGAGATCGTACCTTGCGGTTTTCGCCGTCTTGTGCCACATTATTATGGAACTCAAGATGATCTAATCATATTTTGCATAACTGTTTCCGTACATGATTTGAAAATTTAGACTTCATCATGAACCTCCTCTATATCTCTCTATGTCTCTCGTTTGTGAAGTTCTACATTTGCCATGGATTTCCATTAATTAACGGCCCAGTGAATTCAAAAAAATAATCAAAATCGCTGGTTGAAGGATGTGACTTGTTTCAATATGATTGGTGACATCGATGTACAAAAAAATAGTGATGGACCTATAACACAGATCCTTGAAGGACACAGATGATTATTGTATGTTTTCCACAAAGTCCCAATATCTGATCATTAGAGAACCATTCATCTCAATTTTTTAATGATGTACTGTTTTATTTCATTAACGGTATTGACATCTTTCGTTCTCATCTTCTCTAAGTGAATATAATTCTATGTACACTGATACATGACACTGGAATTCGCCAAGATAATTTGTTTTTATTAAAAACACCCTTTTGTGATTGTGACGAGTATATTTTTGTAAATATTTAAATGAACGTAGACACTACTATAGGTATGTAATAAAATAAGTTATGAATGTAATAATGATAGACTGACATTTTGAACACATCGTGAACTCAGTAGCTTGAAATTGAATATTAATTTTTGTAATATATATTTCCTGGAAATATCATTGAAGGCAATCACGATCAAAGTATCTCCTTGTAGCATTCCTATTTGGACCGTTTTTCCTGTTGGAACTGATAGTTATGAACGAAAGATGTAGCGATTTCGATAACAAATTTGGGCGTGTTCATCTTGACGAATTTGAATATAATGTCGTAATTGACTTCCATACAAAACCTATACTCAGTTTAATAATTCGAACTAATTAGTTGTTTATTGAAAAATCGATGCACTGAGCTCATTTCTATCAGTTCTTCAACTAAAGATGAAATTGCATAAAAAGCGTTTTCTCATATTTATTTCATTTAAATGATAGGTAGGTATAAGTAAGTACTAATAATTGTTGAATATAGTTTTCAGATATTAAAATTGTTTCCTGTATTATGTTTTTTTCTTTTGTTGAGTATCAGGTACCAGTACGTATTGAAATACCAGAACCTAATTGTTCCATTAGTAACATCGGCTAATGCTTTGACAATTAAAACAATCAATGGAGTTGAAATACAATTCATTTCATAAAAAAATACTGGAGAGAGCTATCAAAGCATGATATCTTCCATCGAATGTTCGGTTGAAAATCAATATCGAGCTTTCCAGCTGGAATAAGGTCTGTTTCTGGAAGGAAATATAGTTCGAGAATATCCAGAGCTACAGCTCCTGTTTGCTAGATGGAGTCACCGATATTGTTGCTGAAAAATCAGCCTTGATCTTATAAAAGAGATTTGATTTTCGCTCTATCACGAATATGATGATTTTTCATTTGTTAATTGGAGGTTAGGAGTGTGGACACGCTTGTCACCACTGACAAAAACCAATTTTCATCTTTCTCAGATTTGAAACGTCAGTTCTGAAAATTGAATAGGCGTCCCCAAGAAAATGTTTTTGAATACAATTTGTTCGATAACGAATTGTCAAAATTCCAAGAATGATGGTGAACATTCATTTGAGTTGCCAAGATATGAGACGACATTTCAGGTATTTGTTGTAGCTCAAATTCAATATTCATTCAATGGAAATACATTATCATTACCAAATGGAACTATAGATCTCGCTTCAATTACATTATGGTTACAAGATCATAAATTGACACTCAATTTCGATAAATCTTCTATGTTCATCTCGAAAAGAGTTTTACCTGATAACCAAATGGATCCTTTGAAATTCGGGAATTTTTGTGTAAATACTACAAAAAACTCCAAACTCTTAGGTTTAACTAGAGACCAGACTCTATTTTGGTCAACGCATATTGATTGATTGATTGATTGATTGTCTTTATTACCCCAAGAAACATTATTGTTCATAATAGGGATATATTATACACTAGTGTGAATACTCAATGATATAACATAAAAAATTGAAACAATAATATTTGCATAGTTATTGTTCCTTGCATAGAAAAAAATATAATAGAATATGAAATGAAAATATTATAATCCATTACAAGTAAACAAATTGTGAATGATTAGTAGATATGGAATAAAAGTTTACTGAGCAGATATTTCTTTGATTTGATTCAAAATTATTCTGATTCTATATTTTTCAACTCATTAGGTAAGGAGTAATATAAAATTATTTCATTATGGAATATTGATTGTTTACCAAAATTTGACAAATAATTATTTGCTATCAATGAATTGAATTGCCTTGTTTCATGGGCGTGAATCGTATTAACTTCATTGAAATTCAAATTCGATATTTTCAATTCAATTGCTTCGAAAAAAAAATATTTCCCATTGTTGGTATCTTATACAAATTGGGGTCTTTTATACCTCTTGAATATTTGGAGTAAATTTTCAGTTTGATTTAATCTAAATTGCCGATCTGGGGCACTGCATGAAAATCTGTCTAGAAAACTCTCAAATCTCTTCAAAATAAAGCCATAAAATGTTTTTATAAACTACCATTTCTGGAATCAACATCTAGACTACACAAACCAAGAGATCTACTTGATTGACTCTCTCTTCAAAATGAAAGTATGCATTTTCATTCATTTCACCAAAAATAAGAAAAAGCACTCGAATCTTACTTTCAATATCAATTCTGATTCCCATGAGCATCACACCAGAAAAAGTGAACATTTGAAAACTGTCAAAATAAAAACCCAATTCGGGAAAAAATCCTTGTATTTTTGTGGGATGAATATTTATAATAGTCTACCCAACAAAATAAAATCTATTAGGTTTGTCACAAAATTCGAGTGTAAACTGAAGAAATATATTTTATCAATTTAACTCCCTCGTATCAATTAATTTTGATTGAACTGTTTATCTTTCATTGTATTGCATATTTGATATATTTATTATATTTTTTTGCTCTCCTATCTGAACATTGTATGTTTCTTGGGAACAATGAAAATGTTATTATTATTATTATTATATTATTGATGAAACTATTCACAATTACGTGTCTTTGGTATTACGCCAATGGTAGGGTTTCAAATTAAAAAATGTTTGCACTCGTTTATAGGGGTTATAGAAAAATTGCATTCCATGTCTTATATAAAACATATCCGTGTCTCATGTTCTTGGTTCAACTGTTTAACAATATGACAAATGTATTCACACTCTTTGGGGAGCGTAAAATGAGATGTTCGAGGCAATCTAGACGTATCAGGGCATGTGTAACAATTATCTTGTTGATATATGTTTGGAAATGAAATTATTTTTCATTGCTCACTCAAAAATCGATGATAATCTGATTGTTACAAATCAGTATCAGTCTATGACGTCCATTTGAGTGTCAGATTTACAGCACTATGTAACAGAATAATGTACATACATAATAAATGGATTGTTCAGTGTGGATTTAGGAGCTTCTGCTTGTGAATGTATTCGTGAACCAATGAATATTTTATTCTGAAATGATTAAATTGTCACCTATGATTATTATTTCATTCATTACTCGTTGACAGGTTCAAATATTCTTTGTTTGTCTATGTTCCACATTTGGAATTGATTATACAAATTTCAATCAATCAAAAGGAACAAAACATCCGAAGGGGAATACAAATATAACATCAATATTTATTTTGTCGAGCATGATTCATTATTATTATCGCAGTTGCTGCCATATCCGAAAGATACAGAAAAAAACAGAAATCAGTAATATATCACGGAGATAAACGGATCACAGTCATTGGATATTTGGAAATGTCTCCACACATATCGTCGACGAAACCGCAAAACCAAGTAACTGACAAAAATTCGAAAATGGGATTCCGGCGGCAATCGGTCTCTTATATTGGTGGGGATGCGTATGCAAAACCTCACAACTGGTAAAAAATTGTAAATATTTTTGAATCCATAAATACAAAACACCTTATCTGAAAAATTAATTAAAAGGGGTCGTCAAAAACAAGTATTTAACAGTTGGCAACGTGATTCACGCCTCTGATATTTTGTGTTCAATTTCTTTTCACAGAGATCAATCTCTGCTAATTGGTGAGTGACTTTTTATAGAACAGATATGTAAAACAGTTTATCCCCATCTTCAATTGGTATTTCAACACAGGATGTGAGGATTTATCTCAAGTATTTGTTGAGCTGAAAGTCCAGAAAAATGAAGTTACTTGTTTTTGCGAAAAACTTTTCTGAATAATTGTTGTTGCTTTCGCACAGAAGCAGATGTCAAAACCAAGTATCTCACGCTGACAAATGTGAACAATGACTTTTTTCAATGATCAATGTACAAACGTAGGGATAAAAATAATCAGGTGGTTTGTTACTATTTTTCATCATTGAATCTGATCAGTTAACCCGAAATTATAAAGTTTTTGGTGTCTCCTGAAAATTTTGGTTTTTGCAGTTACTTAGCTTTGCGGTTTCGTCGACGATATACAGTATACATCCCATTAGTCATGAATTAAAAGAGGTGGGGTGGTATGGAAGCTCATCTGCAATCAAACTAACGGTATATGTGGTCATCAAATTGTTGATGGTTCAAAGTTAACCAATTTTTTTGAAAAACGCGACCAATTTAAAAAAAAAACAATAACAGAAGGGCTGGTTTGAATGACTCCATATGTAATTCCATTTCGGAATATGTATTCAATTGGCAACTTTTTTATTGTTGAAAAGGAATATTCTCAGATAAATTATGGACATACAAAAATGGTTATATACATATATACATTATACATTGAGAATTCGCATTCTCTATGTGATGAGAATATGTACTCTTTTTCAGTTGAACACACACGATAAGAGTTTGAAAATAAAATATAAAAAAACTTCTGAAATTGAGAATTTGCATTCTCCTTCAGACAAAAATATGCATATGCACACATCATTCTGAATATTCAACAGAAAACAACTACTTTCCTGGCTATTTGCCACGTCGAACATTGAAT